CTGCAGCATCATATCCTTTTATTGTAAACACAAACACCTCCCTGTGGATTTTCCTACAGTGGTTATTCCTTCACATCAGGCGACTGTTACACGAGCAGGTGTTCACTTTGAGAATATAATCAGGCTTTATTATTCTGTTCGGCAGAACTCGGCTAATTGAAGTATTCAGGAGGATCCTGACATACATTGTAACTCAGGAGAGGCTTCACAGCTGAGACAAAGTGCAGTGTGACAGTTTGATGATTGTGTGTATTCACACAGTCTGACGTGTACAGTGGTTAACACACTGCTCTCCACTGCCTCAATGACTTCTTTAGTCAAGGCAAAACACAAGAAATTTAGAATTTGGTTCAAAATATTCAGCAACACTAGGTCCAGTCCTTTACTATCTCACTCCAGAACCATGTTCCTGATGAGTCAAATAGTCCTGAGTGGTTGGATGACACTGACATTAGTTCACTTCTGCGTTGATTTCATTCAGTCAATTTTTTAAATAGCACTGAAAAAATATCTACTATGATTGATTGGCTGTCATCATCTATCAGATGACTATACCTAGGCAGAGTTAAGGTGCTGAAAACTCATTACTTTATAACACTCTCTAAAAGGAGACATGACTAGACTGCAAGCCTGCACCGTATTTTTAAAAAAATGACGTGCACATTCGGTAGTTCTAGTGCTCCCTCTAGTGGTAAGTGGGCAAACCAGACGCCCATCGGAATTCTATAAATCACCCAGTTATCAACAACTTATTATCAGCCAATGGCTTTTAAATAGATGTTTCCCACAAGCCTCCTAAAAGAAAAGGTTCCATCTTTGGGCCGATTAGACTTGTGTCCCTCTATAAATGGATCTAACCCACAGCTGAGGCTGTTGTTAATATAATAATGACGCTGCAACATCGGTCCAAGCCCTTGTGTTCTGTATCCTGCTTATTCATTGGTCAAATTATTATATTTATTATTAAACTATTACTCAGCTCTCTGGTCTCTGAAAGTGTCGTTTGCTATGTTTGCAAAGGGTTTTATTTTATATTTTAACACAATTTTATAATAAACCTGTCATCTTTAACCTTTTTCTTTTAATTTTCTTAGTCTTTGAAATCTCTGCGGGAATAGCTGTCCTTTCTCTCTGCACCGTACGTATCCATATTATTTATGGCTAAATGCTTTAAAAATGTATTATCACAAATATCCACTTGGGGGCGATCTGGGCTGTGCTTCCACATCCCGCCTGAGGTTATATTCACACTCCACCAAACAGCTGCTCCTTCTCCATGAAATTACAGAACAGCTTTTACCAACGTCAGTTACATTTTAAAATATAAGGGTGAGGTTAAGTTAGGGTAAGTTTGCAAAAATGGAAATAAAAAGTAATATTTTTTTTTACAGCTCACAGCTCAAGGTCAAAACGTACTTATGATACTCAATGTTTATTATATTTACCTTGTTCTATTTCACAAGGTATATGACGCTTATTAGTGGAGTAGTTTTTTCACTGTAACGTTTCAGTGTTCATCTGATGTCAGAAAATAATCTGATATTTTTTATCTATGAGAAAAATCCACAACAACCACAACAACAACACAATTGCTACATTAACTAAACAGAAGCAAAAGAGTCACATTTTCCTGTCTATGTGATCTCCACTACACATGATTACTAACTAAATGTTAAATTACAATAATTTGTTTTTATATTCATTTAATAATTTGTTACATAACACCTAAAAGCATATTTGTACATGTTCCAAATTATTGGCCTACTGTACAATTCTTAGAAAGATGAAATAAACAGACAGTGTTAAATAATAATATAAAATACCACACACCAACAACTATGTTCTGTCGGTTTAAATGAAGTGTAACAATAAGTTCTCTGACATCCCTCCGCTCTAGGAGCGTTGGCTGGCTGTTAAGGAGGCGTAAACCTGTTTCCTAGTCAGGCCTCATCTGAGCGAACTTTACCGGCTTTTGGAGCAGGCATCTCCAGATGGCTGGATCCAGAGCAGCTCGCGGTAACCGTGGTTTTTCACAACCTAGATCCATTGTCCTGGTGCCAGACCCTCTCAACCCACCCCAAGATCTGTTTCCTCTGCTGATTAAGGCTGGCCTCCCATGTTTTTCCCCAAAACAGAAAAAAAGTCATGCACTTGGAGTGATTAACAGCCAGCTGCAACCGTCAGACGTTGTAGGGATTTTTTGATGAACAGATTCCACCTCTCACATGTAGAGCTGTAGCCATCTCTATAAGTACATACAGTGTATAAGCTAGTTGGTGGTTAGTCAACTGAAATTGAAATTTAAAATTGAAACAATCAAAATAATCATAGGTCAAATAAAAGATGTAGTTCTGACTTCTGTTTTCTGATCAATTACCTAATTGTGTTGCAAAATGTCTCAGAATATTCTCTAGAGGCAGCTTCATTTTTAACCCCACCTAAATTTAGTTGCTTAGTCTTTTTTATGCTAAAATAAACAACAAAATAAATACAAATATTTATATGATGGTTAATCCCAGTTCCTGGAATTAATAACCCTCCACTTTCTATAGCATTTGGCTCACATACTTCTCCTCTCCACCTGCTCCCACAGTACTCTTTCCACTGATCACAATGATACCTGCAACCATCATGTTCCGGGGAGCTGGCCCCTGACCCCATCTCTCAGCCTGTCCATAACCTTTGCAAAAATGTAGGCTCAGAGTTGATCCATGCTGTACCTCCGCTTTTACCATGAACCCATGCATCACTAAGACTGCACAAAATAAAATACTCTCCTGTTGTTCTTATAATGTCCCACACCATCCTCACATACTTCTTTGCCACTCCTGACTTCTTTGCATAGTTCTTTTCAGAACCCCAACTTGTTATTAATCCAGATCTACAACATTCCGACACTTTCTCTGCCTTTTCATTTAAATCAGCATAATTTCAACTTTAATATAAATGTAGTTACTGAAGCTCTGCACCTTAACTTTGCTCCTTAAACAAGACCAGGACACTAGTTCATAATTTATGAGGCCAATCAATTCCATACATCCTTATATTTCAACCGACTGCCTTTCCACTTTTTATCCCTTTGTCTTCACTTCTCACTCACCAATTCCCAATCTCTCCATCTCTGTTGATCATTGTCATTGTCATTGTCAGTTTCTGACACTTCTCCTTCCACCTTCTCAGCAAATTCCACTTAAGCACTGGTATTATTACCCATTTTATTGAGTCTTTAGCGACCTAACCTCCTGGAGATTCTTTCTGAGTGTGGCAAAATGGCTTGACGACACCTCCATAGATTTTATTTTAATGGCATCTTCTCACTCAGCATCTTCAACTTCAAATATAATAACTGATGGCACACAAAACAACATAGAATGTTGTCCAAATAATAAGTAAAGAAAACTCCAGCTTTGGAGAAATTTACCATGTGACATAGCAACAGTCTGCCTTGAACATATTTAGATCTTAATCATACTGTTATACTGTGGCTTTAGGACAAATATTGAGCCATTTCAGGAAGTAAGACTTCATCCACAATGTTGTGGAATCATCATATTCCAGGCTGCATCTCCAGGAAAGTGCAGCCTCTGAGGCATTTTGTTATTTTTGTTTTAAACCTTAACCATTTTGCCCACTATAAAAACTTTGTATAACTTCTTCCTGAGCCTTGCACTTCCTTACAAATACATATGCGCACGCAGGCACGCACGCGCACACACATATTAGACAAAGCAGATGAGAAACTTTTGAAAGCTCCCTTTTTATGCCATCCTATCTGTTTATATGAATGTGTCTATAATGATGTGATGTCAGTGAGTGATTCACTGTGAGCTGGAGAATAATGAGTTGTCTCATTATCATAATTTCCCTGATTTAGATGAGTGGTTTTCTAACTCTTGGCACTGAACGTTTGCATTGTACTTTTAAACATTCACTCTCCTGCTGACGATTTCACTGAGCTCGTGTGGTGTGTGGGTGTGTGTGTGTGTGTGTGTGTGTGTGTGTGTGTGTGTGTGTGTGTGTGTGTGTGTGGAGCCTAAACAGATTGTGAGACTGTCATTGAGGATAAAAAGAGCAACAAAACAGAAAAAATATGGAGAGAGTTGAGGATATTATACACTAATGCTTACATATTGACATATTAAACTAATTTATTGGGAGCAGAGTAGTGTGAATTGCACGGTGCTCATACTCCAAATTATATTATTTTCTGCGGAAGTGACTATATAGTAATTCAACATATAAAGGGTTTGTATCTGTGGTTTGTTCAGCTTCACGCTTACACAGGAAATAGGAATGAGATGGTTTTCCTGTTTCTCTTCATCTATACTTTGGTTAGATTTAATTTTCACCTCAGGATAAGTATTTGAAATTGAAAACAAATTTAATCTCACCAACCATCAAACTCAAAAGTGTATCTACTGCCAAAGCTTTATAAAGACCACACAGAGGAATGAAATGGTCAAAGCTTAAGATAAAAAAAAAATCAAAAAACTGTTGAATTAGCCTGAACGTAAAATATATCCAAACATCCATAAATAAAGAACTTTTCCCTATTTTATATCTCTGTAGAACAATTCCATCTGTTGCACTTCATTAGATGAGATCATTTGTATAGGAACCACAGTGACAGTTGTACAGTTTACCAGGGTGTTATGCACACTGACAAGAAACAAGTAAATATTATCAGTATTATAATTACCTGCTGTAATTAGAATACTGTACTGGGTAATTAATCCTACCTTAGAAACAGATAAATAGATATAAGGGGTGCAAAACTTCAAGTCAAACCATCTGTAGTCGCACATGATTTTTCCACACAATGTACACAATATGTATATGTATCACTCACAACAAGCAACTCCGCTGTTATATACATACAAATAAACATAGGGGGTGGGAGGGACGACACTAGTTATATGGACAGTTTTGCTCCGCCACAGTTACAGTTGTGTTTTTATAGTCTGCGTGCAAAAAAATAAATAAATAAAAAAAAGGCTCACCCGCTCTCCTGAAGCGTGCACTGCTGGGACGTGGCGTTTCTTCCATTGACAATACGGGGCTCGTCCATGTTAACGGTTAGTTAAAAGTCCTGACTTGAGCGAACGGCAATAGAGTCCAGTCACAATGCGTTCCGGCGGAAGTCGCAGCGGTCCGCTCCGAATTAAGTTTCCCCTCTTACCTACACAGGTGCGCCGTTAAATACAGGTGTGTATTTGTGTTGAACGGTTTGGGACGAATACAAGTACTATTACAGCCCAAAAGCACACACAGCACATATTTATTGAGAAAGGGTTGACCGTTGGCAATTTTTTGTGTTTTCACCAACTTTTTTATTAATTTATTATTTTCATTGGTTGGCTTTTCCTTCTATAATTACATTTTGTTAATACTATATATCTTTTCAGTTTTTAATATTACTTCTTGGTAATAGTTACACTTATAATTAGACAACCAGGTGTAGTTTCACCTTGAAATTTCAACAATGAGCTTCCTAAGATCTATTCCTTGATGTCACTGTGACATATCTTGACTTGACTCTTAAGCAGTTCTCCTGGCCTACAGTTAAGCCGGTGTTGTTCTGCCAGACGTTCAGTATTTTATTTTACATTAACCCTCATCACAGTAACCATAACTCTATTTGCTAAGAAAGAACTACAGACCTCCTCCAACTCCTCCTCCTCCTCAGATTTTCCAGCCTGTGGTCTGCATCTCATCATTGTATTTTTTTTTTTTTTTTTATCAGCCTCACAAACAGTGATTGATTCAACCACTATCCTTCAGGATCTTTCAATGCCTGCCTGGGCTGGAGATTAATTTCCTTTTCCTCATCTTAATTTTTACTCATCGCCTGCGTATAAAAAGGCTAAATGTCAAGCATGCCTGACTCCTTCTAGTGACACGTCTATTCCAGCAGATAATTACCATAAGGAAATTGATGCTTTAGTGTGCAGAGGGGAATTTAATTTACTCTGACATCCTCACGGCATAATGCATTCCTAAAGAAAGAGTTTCTCACTTTGCAATTGACTTTTTAAGATAAATTGGACTATTTAATGTGATTATCAGTCTTGAACGCCTTTGACTTATTAAGGTGTTGAAACCAATTAAGGGTTACACGCTACGGACGCTTCCAAATGTGAAACGGTGAATACTGCTTAAAGATCCATGAAATAAGAACCAGCCGGAGCCCATTGTTCACCACTCCCACTGCTGTGTGGCCTGATGATGTTTTGAGACTTGCCATAATGATATTAATTATAGCAAAATCAGGTGGTGGATAAACCTGAGGGAACACGGATTAACATTAGGTCTGATGTGTAGCTGTGGATTACAGCCGGCATGTGGCATGTCATCTTGAGCACTGCGGAACTGAGTAAGCGTAAAATTCCTTGACGCCCCTGCAGCTCCTGTGTGTTCATATATACTGTGTAATGGAATACTTGGATCCATTTAATATGGGCTGTTAGGTTGTTTTTGTTTTCAAGAAGATGTTTAGTATGTGTTTTCTACATTATTATAATATGATAGAAAATGTTTCTTTTGTAATTATGACATAATTCCAAAGAACTTTTTGACTTATCTCATATTTTAATCTATACCTTTGTGGGTTAATTTAATATTTTTGTTAAATTTGTGGCCAATTTTGTGCAGTTAAAATGACATTAAAAACTTGAAGCTGCATAGGTTCAATAGCAAATAAATAAAAATATTATCTAATGTCACGTGTCAGCTGTTATCTGAAGCTTAGTCACTGGTATGCATCATGGTGACTTTTTAGTAACTTCTCTAACAGGTTTCCTGAATCATCCTCCCTGCAACGTGTTGCTTCTCACACGGTGGGTGAATCTGCTGTGTCACTGGAAGGGACAGTATCTCTGTGCAATGGGAGAGCCATGAGCGTGACTGGACACCCCTGCCTTCACTGATAGCACTGAGTCATGTTACGGTCCCAGCATTCCCTCTGAGTGGCCTCAGTGTGGCGACCCCTCATCCTGCGGCTTCGTACCTGCAGGATTGAAGACGACGTATCCAGACAGAACAGGGCTGGACTGCCATGCTGTGGAGGAAGTCAAGAAGCGTTGCAGCAATCCCAAGGATGGTGTTGAAGACACAGCAGGCCGCAGCTCTCCTGCCCAGAGTTCCTCCTTGTGCAACTAACTGCCTGAATGTTGTGCTGCTCTTGAGATAAGGGCAGCCTCCAACGAAAGGTGACTCAGCAATCCAGCACGGGCAGCCTCTCCTGAGATAAGAGCTCCCTGAGGGGCCATAGGACGACAGGATTCTGGGAAAAACATGGACAGAAGAAAAAAACATTAAGGTGTAACCAACCACTGTATTAACTTTTACAATATAACCAGAAAGTATTCAGCGATGTGTAATTTTAATTATCACAACTTCATATTTAGTGCCAACTCATTGCATATAATCATATGATGGAATTATCTGAAAATGAGAGGTGAAAACCAGGTGTGGAAATCATCATTTATTTAAAGATTTCATCAACTTCTATCTACAATGAATACAATTTCATGATCTTTAAACATTATACGACAGACCTAAAATATAAAACAGTGCAGATACATGACCATATATCTACGACAATTGGAAAGAAATTATTGTACAAGTAGATTGATTTGTGATTATAAGCCTCGTGGTTCATTCTCAGTGTGATACAAAATGAACGTATAACTCTAAGGAATGTTGGAACAGGTGAAAAGGAAATGAAGAGGAATTTAGTTTTATACAAACTTTTGAGAACATCCTTGAAATTTCCATTATTCTTATATTTAAGACTGTTGGAAATGATAAGAACCAAGCTGCCCTAAAAAGGACACAAGCTGCCCTGAACGCTTACACTGACAGTCATGACATCTGAAATATACTGACTTTTCCAAACTTTGTATGTTCTGCACAGTCACGTTCCTGAAATACTACTACTTTTACTACAAATAACTCCTCACATAAGTGGTGCAGCAGCTATATTTGTGTGTCTAATCAGTATAAACAGTTTTAGTCGGCATAGATATGAAATATATGATATATATTATTATATACAATATATTATAATATATAATAGATAATATTGTATATACAGTATATATGTATATGTGTGTGTGTGTGTGTGTGTGTGTGTGTGTATATGAGGTCAGGTCAGGTCAGCTGGATGATTATTATTAATGTTCATGTTATGTTTTGTGTATGAGAAACAACGCTGTTGTTTTGATATCGTGGTCTCAGAGCCAGAACAGGTAAGAGTTGTGGTGATCATCCTAGGTAAGGAGAGAATGGGGATGGGGTGGGGGTGCGAGGACCCCTGCCCCCCACCCCCCCCCCCCCCAGCTCCTTTGGTGAGAAATGAAATAAATAAACAATGAAGTTGTCCACTCTACTCCTCCTTCTGCGCCTCATCCCATCTCATGCATGGCTGCCAGTGATGCTCTGCTGGCTGTCAGCTTTTATTGGCACGGCACAAAGCAAAGTGCCAAGGGTTCGCTGCTGCAGGCTCCACTGCGCTGCTGCTGCTGCACTAGACTCGGCCTGTGGATAAAAGCGAGCAAAATGCCTCAGTCGAGCTCAGAGATCTAGTCATGTTGGGCTGGAACGAGGAAGTGCAGTGGAGAGGGGAGGGACTGAGGGCGCAGCTCCATGGGGCCGCGGCGGCGGCGCTGCGACCTTCTGCACATGGAGCCGGGGAGAGTTGGAAGAACTTCATACTGCAAACTCAAGGAATAGCAGGTAAGGCTGCAGTGACCTCCTCCTCCACCTTCTACTCCACTCTCGTCTCGAACACTTTACCGCCTTCACTCTTCTGAAGACAAATAATTCGTTTTTCTACTGTTTTCTTTTTTCTTTTTGGAGCCATCTGCACATAACTGGAAAAACTAACTCCTGGTAGTTTGGCTGCAGGTGCACAGCAGCATCAGACCCTGTGTGTGCGCGTCGTTTTCTGCAAGTGAGCGAAATGGAACAGAACCACATATACATTTGTAAACTTTATAAACATTTATTTTAAAACACACTTTTTCTGCATTTCCGCGAATTCATGCGTAACATTGGCTCCTCTTTCCCCCCTGTCATCTCCCGGTAGGATAACTCAAATAAAATATCACTAAATCATTAAATGTACTGACATTTAAATGTAATTATTTTTATAACATTTATGTAGAACTTTCAAACGACTAGACACGTTAAATTATTTTACTTTTACATATTTTTTTCTGAAGGCACTTGTTGCAGTTGTGCTGCGCTCTCTCTCTTGACTTCACTCTCTGTCATCTGGTTTGTAGAGCACTTTTTAAGTCGATTTTTAATTTTTAATTTTAAGAATTTGTGTAAATATATTTCGATAATTTAACCGGTGATAACAGCCCTAACAAGTGAAGGTGAACATTTTGCTGCTACGCAAAGAGGAAATCACCACGCATCAACTAAATGCGCACCGCCTGTATTATGGTGTGTCTTGGAAAAATAACAATAAATTAATTGGATTATTTTCTATACCATCGATTTTCACCTGTAAGATGCACAGCCTCAGACATGAAGAGGGAAACACACACACACTCACATACATATATTCACACATGCATATATGTAGGCTGGACTGATGAAACTTTTACTTTACTGTCACTGAGGTAGAAGCTCTGTGATCAACGCCCCGAATTAAAAAAAAAATCCACTAACTGCTCAGGAAATTGTCAAATAAATTATTTTTCCTTTTGTTTAGATCAAAATGAATCTCTATAATATCAAATGAAGTACAACAAAGTATTTTGTTTTGTTTAAATTAAGTAAAATACATTTAAACAGCGGCAGTACTTCAACTGTGTGAAGTAAATATGCCACATATATTTCTAAGTAATATTCATGTTACTTTACAGTCAAGTTTTTGTTTGCAGCAGGCGTATTAAATGTTAAAAGTGTAATATTATTTTAGTAAACATGTGGGTTATCAAGGGCTTTACTAATATTAAATTTTTGTTTACAAAATTATACCAGTTGTCACTAAAAAAAAATCAAGCTTGATTTTAGGTTGGATTCATTTACACACACACACACACACACACACACACACACAGAGTGGACTTTTTCCACAGCTCAGACTGAGAGGTGCTGGTGCACATCTATTATCTTTCTTGTCAGAAGAAGCAGAAGTCGACGGACGGGAGGTCGGGGTGCAGAGGAAGACAGACAGTTATTAAAATGATTGTATACCTTCTGAATAGCAGAGTAGTGAAGTGTGTCAGATGCAAATGAAGGAAACTTCGCCACAGAACAGCTTCACTCACAGCCTCACCCTCTCAACACATCTTCTAACTCCACTTACAACCATATACTTTTCACTAATACCTGGTGAGAATCTCCATCAAAGTCCAAACTGAGTGTGTGCCGCTCCGACAAAACCAGCTCCTCCTAAAGACTGACGAGAGGCCTCTACTTTTTCTGTTGGTGTCAGTAAAGACCGGAAACTTATATGAGAAATAATGACACACCTGTGTATTAAAACTAAGGGTCGGACAAAAATATTTTCATTCTTCATTCTCATTTTATACAGGGGGAGAAAGATTTTTAACGCAGCGTTTTGGAACACACTCAGGTTATTTAAGGAGTTTCAATTACTTTGTGACATCTCCAAATGTAACTAATAACTAATTATTACACACCATTAGAGCAAAATCTATACATTATTTATTGTTACTAAGACGTGAAATAAAAAGGTAAAATACTGTTTTATTGACCCAAAGACTCCTCAGGGTCAACGGGACAGCAGATTAATCAAATCAAAATAATATATTTTATTAGGTTTTTATTTATTTTGTTATTAGTTTTTAAGTTATTATTAATATAATTTGGTTTGCAGTAGCTTCAAGCAGTTATCTACTGAAGAGTGAAAATTGTTTCACCTTAGAGTCAGGTGAAAGTTTTTTTTCCTACATTTTCAAAGCAGGCAGTGCACTATACATTGATCAGATTACATCAACAATTAACGTCAATGGTTCGTAAATGTATAAAAAGCCATGTTAAATGATTTAGCAGGTGCAACAGAAGCAGTAGAAAAGAAGATGGTGAGGAGATAAAATGAGGCTGTCAGCAGTCACTCTGGTCTCGGCCGTTGTGTTGCTTTCAGGATGACAATCAGCCGAGGCGTACTTTGAAACTGGTGAAGAACTCTCTGGAAAACTAGAGTAAATGCGATCGACTGGTTTGTGCAAACCTGTGACTTAAACACGCAGTCAATATATACAGTAGACTAATGTGAAGACCAGGGAAATAAAGAAGACAGTGATGAGCTTTAGGACTCAACCAAAAGTCATGCTTGTTTATTAAGAATATTTATTATTTAAAAAAACAACAAATTATGTAACAAACATAAATTATTTTAAGTGTGTATTTCTGTTCCGTCACTATGGTTACTACAGGTTATATTCAACAATTTAAAATTGTTAATTACATCTGCTGAAATGACACTCTATAGAAACACAATGTGATGATAAAAGGTCTGCCCACTTGTGCTATAGGTTTTAAATGTGTATGGTGCAAAATCATACACATGAAGCGCCCTCCCCTCCTCCTCTTCCTCCTCCTCCTCCTCCTCCTCCAGCAGGATAACCTAACTTCACTAGTGTGGTCCCCAGTATCTGTTAACGGTTTTGCCACTTCTCATCTCCACCCAACTCCCTGACGTAGCTTCTGCACCTCACATGCACATGCACACACAGACACACACACAGGGGAGGAGCAGGACTAAGAGTTCTGTCAACCCACAAGCCTCTTCCTGCCTCTCCTTTTTGACAGAATTAGACTCAGACTTTTTGCCCCCCCCCCCCCCCCCCCCCCCCACCCCCTCTCCCCACTTCCACATCAACTCTTTTCTGAAACTTCCATTTAACCAGGTTGAAAGAATCCACCTGCACACACACACACACACACTCACACATCACATTATCCTTACAGACACCGATGATCAAAGTTTTTTTAGTTAGCAAAAATACAGAGTTACATTTTGATTAAAAGGTGAAAAATATGAGGAAAATCTGTTTTTTCTTCTGGAATTCTGAAATGATTTTTAAAGTGACAAATTTCAGTTCATCCAAAAGACTGAGGTACAGCTAAAAACAGATATGAGTGGTTCTTTTTTTTCCCGACATGTCTATAACATGAAGAACCAAAGCAGCTTTGACACAGTCTCACTTTCTCGAACAAAATAGCTACTTCCTGAATACTCTGCGTGCACCTTACTTTCTACATGCCCACACAAGGGGGTTGTGGCTGTATGGTGGAACTCTCTTCTCTCTCTTTTTATTTCTGTCGCTAACACATCCGTGTTTCCCCTCGCACCATCTGCCCTGAACGGGGGCACAGGAGAATACGGTTCCCACCGTACCCGACCTCCAAACTCCAGATGCTGAAGACGAAAGAGTCGGTGCAGAGAAACACGCAAGACTCCTGGGCTGTGCTGAGCAAATCATCTGCACCACTGGCCTTTGCCCTGCTGCCCCGCTCACCCACCCTCTCTCCCTCCCTCCCTCCCTCTTACCCACACTTGTGTCCTGGGCGTCTGCTGGACAATCGACTCCTGACTTTGACTCCACAGAATATTTTCTGTGTGTGTGTGCATGTCTGTTGCGAAAGAGCGGCCTGGTCGCTTCCCACTGTTTGTTCCAAATGTGTGGAGCCATCTGTCAGTAAAACAGGAAGGCCTTGGTTCCCCTTCTCCCCTGGGCTTGTTTCGCTATTTTCGGGAGCTTCACTTCTCCCTGTGTGGCTGCTTGGACTTGGGCAGCAGCCCCACCGAGGGCTTCTTCAAGTGGCGGAGCAGAGGCTGAGGCTGTCGGGCCCATCTGCTGCAGCCTTGAGGGCCATCCATTATTAATGGGGCCACAGCGCTGGTGACTCCTCAGATATTCAGGCCTGGCCGGAGCTTTGCCTCTGGACTTGTCTTGTAAACAAAAATAATAATAAAAAGACAACTTCTGTGTCTTTTGGCCTGTTCTTTTTACTGCACCTTCATCTTACAGCGGCTCGCTTGACCTGACTCCCTCCAAATCCATCACTACTCCATGAGTCAACAGACCATGTTAAAAATGTCTACATATTTAATTTTCAGACTCTAATTTGTACATTTTAATTGGAAATAGTTCAGTATTTTAGCAGGAGAAAAATGGAATTCTTTGTCAAATCCTTTTTATATCCAGGAAACCATGACAGACAAACCTGCTAGAACTAGAGATGCAATGATTTCAACGGAATCAAAGTCATAAGTTTGACTTCAGTGACCTTGCCAATATCGGTTTTTGGCAATTCAGAAACACTACGTCAAAGAAAAACCCCAAACAGAAAAAAACATAAAAAAACTTGCAGTTGCTCCCAACGGAGTCTTACTGTTGAATATGGTACCTAACAACCAGCTTGGAGCATTCTTGGCTCAAAACCTCTTCTCCTGTTCTTCAGTGCGAAACCCAGTGGTCGATTGCAGGATTTCTGTCATTATTATCATTTAAATAATAATAGGTTTTGAATTCCCTTCATTTTGTAATAGGATAATACAGATAATAGGTTCAATGAAATAAAGAAAAAGTTCTGCTGTTCAAAAACTTGGTGATCATTGTTGTACTTTATAAATCAGGCGTTTTAAAAGGGTGTGTAGAGTTTTTTAATTTTTTTTTTTTATCTATTGTGTCTGTTTCCTTGGCCGTATCTCGTATCCTTACTCTCCTCTTCTTCCTCCTCTGCTACACTCACTTTCTCTCCCTCTCTTTGTTTCTGATTGCGGCTTACATGCATCCGTGCTCTGGCCGTGGACTCAGCGATGCATGCTCAGTAAATTAGAGAGAACATGAGCACCGATCAGCTGGGCACGGCGAACACCCGCATCCACGGTGACCTGGGGCCAGTTAATTTTCTGCTTAATTTTGCGGCAGTCAGTTTGCATTTTTGGATGATTACGTGGCAGGAAATTAACAATAAATAACAAATGTGGTCTGAAAGCTCATTCCCGGCGCAGCCGTGCCACCAGCGGGCCCCATCAGCTGGAGCCCGGCCGTTCTGCAGGCTCACTCTCTCTGTCAGACTTGTAATGAAAATGTCTGTAATTCTTTGTAATGTAATGTGGGGGACACTGGTGGCTGTGCCGCAGTGACAAGAGTGATCTAGCTGAGGTGACGGAGTCATGCCGAGAAAGTACACCTTTTACTCTACTCTAGCTGTTTATAATGTTGTTTCTCGAGCTTGCACTTGATTAAACTTACAACACAAATACGTCTCCATCTTTCTCCTCTCAGAGTACTTGCACCGCATGGAGACCGAGGAGGCCCAGGAAATGTCCCAGATGCCAGGTAAAAGACTACCTACTGCATGATTGAGCCATTGACTGCAGATTGTAGATACAATAGACCCACAAAAAGGCTCTTACTCTCTGGGCCAGAGACTTTAAAATGAACCGTCTGGAGGTAATTTGGCTTTTTCGTGAATAAAACCAATTGAGTGGTTACGTGTTGAGTGATGGGTGTTTGCTGGTGTGTGTCTCTGCAGGCAGGGACAGCCCCCCTGCCAACGAATCAACCGAGGACACAGAGGAGCCCATGGCTGTCCCTGAGGACCTGTCAGCCAGCTCCACCCAGCAGCAGAACAACAGAGGGGACAAAGGTACGAGGAACCGTCTTCTCAGACTTGACTCCTGACAAAACACCAGTGATGCAGGTTTAAAAGAAAGAAACCAATGTTTGATACAGCGAGTAAACGCAGCAGTGAAATTAGTCAACCTTATTCAACCATTATTAAAAAAAATCCAGGTTTGTACAGATCAAAAGGTGTAAGTTCCCTTCAACATCACAGCTCTTTCTTTCAAAACCACTCATTATTGGTCCAATAATTTAGAAAAGTTGGCTGTGTGTCGGTTTTTGCTGAAAAAAAAAAAACGGCATTTGGATTTTGTTGATTAATTCTAAGGCTCAGGTAACTTACTGGTAACTAAGTTTCTCCAGATTTGATAGTTTACTAGTGAGAACCGAGGCTTTTACTTCTGTTACCAGTCAGTAAAGATCCCTCTCATTGGTTGAGGAAGTTTCTGCTCTGGTTACTGTAAGACAAAAATGGGCTTCAAGTCAATGTTGTACTGGAAGACAAAACACCCATTAATACTGGTTCTAGTTCATCCCAGAGCGGAGAATACACAAAGGTCTTTACTCACCCACTGGGTTTCCAGTTCTTATTTGTTTTACTGGAAGGACAGTGTTCTCTGACTCTGGTTTTCTCCTTCAGACACAACCAAACTACAGTTGTTCTTTGGTCTCACCTGACCAACTCATAGTCATCTAAGCTAAGCGAACTAAGATAAGATTCAACTGCCAATTCAAATACTGTATATAGACTTTTCTATATCACACTGTACCACTCCCTACATCATACTGTCATTCACAGTTGGTAGGAGACAGTCGCCATCAGAAACCCCTCCGAAAATTAGACTTACTACAGCAACGAGACACATTTGGGTCATTGGCAGGAAAAGGAAAAAGGAGAAAAAACCCGTCTCTGATCCATGTCATGTCATTAACAAGAAGAATCTTAAGGAATAACTAATGTGGCCTTGATTTCAGTTTGTGAACATCAAGCCAGGGAATACATTACTGTACCTAAAATAGGGAGGAACACTCGGGATGGATTCACACTGTTAGTGTATATTTGATTTACATCATAGGATGAGTTCAAGAAGAAACACTCGTCACAAATCGTTTCCTTTTCATCGTTAAATCAATACAGGTATAGAATAGAATAGAATAGAATAGGAGCCAACTTGTGGCAAAATTTGTACATAGTTCACTAGAAATGTAAACCTTAAGGCAATGTTTTTCAACCTTGGTGTCGCAGCCCCACGTGGGCTCGCCTAGAGTTCAAATGGGGTCACCTGAAATGTCTAGTAATTGATTTAAAAAAATTGACGGTCTTATGGTACACAGATTATTTATTTTAATTCAAAGATTATTCAAGCAGGTATAAACTAATTGTGCTGCAGATCTTTATCTCTTTTATATGCAATGTTTTCAATGTATTTTATTTTATAATTTTATTATTTTTTAAATTCTTTTTTCAAATTGCAAAAAGTAGATAAGATTAAACAAGACTTCTGACATTTCACGCCTGTCAGTGTTTTTCCACTCATCCAGATAATGGCAAAGATTAGCAGCACAAACTTAAAAAAAACAAAAAAACAAAAAAAAAAAAAAAACTGAGATGAGAGGAAACTGAAATAGGATGTGTAAGAGTTTCCTAAGAACAACTTGCCATCAGCGAGTTTCATCACCGCTCCTGGAGATAAAGAGTTCAGGAACAGGGCCAACATGTTAAAGGCACCTCAGTGCATCACTGCACGACATGCAGCAGTCATACACACACACACACACCTGCAGGCACTCACACACACACACACAGTTGATGAAAAGCATGTATAGTTTTCATGCAGGAAACTGAACAACTCAGTGATCTGAACTGAGTGCAACTCAGTTCCGTCTCTCTTTGCCTTCACTCTCTGATCAGAAGAATTTAAATATCTGTAGGAGACGCTGTGGCACAACGTCAACTAATGAAGGAGGCGCCTCACTGACAAAAATCTCAGGCTGGGAAAAGAGTGTCTGACTGTGAACTGGACAGAAGTGGTGCTAATGCTATCGTCTGTTTCCCACTTTCCTATAACTGTATCCCTGCAATCCCACCTTTAGGCCATGGTCCACCATTTGAGAATCAATCAACTAATCATATTAGTCATTAAGTGTCTGTGTGTGGATTAGCCCTATGAGAGATGTCCAGTAAAACACACACACATGCATAAACACACACACACATAAAACACACTCTTCCTAATTCCTACTCTAACTCTAATCTGACCTTAATCCTAATCTTAACTCTTTGATTCTCAAAATAGCCTTTCAGTGCAGATCTAAAAAGTCAAAGTGTCTTTGCAACAGCAGTAGTTTAAAAGAAAAGAAGGCCCAACCGTACCGACACACCAGGAACACACACCCACACACACGAGAGAGAAAGATAATGAAGACACTGACTCTTACTGTCTCTCTGTCATTTGTTTCAACAAACAGACAAAAACATATTTTTATGACAACTTTACTGTAAAGGATTCACTTATTAAATGTAAAAAAGACAATTTTATTTATATATTTACTTTTTTTGCAATATTGGAATATTATACTTTCAGTTCTTGTCCATAGTGTTCAATAAATGCAACGTGTTTTGAGTCATTGATTAATCCAGTAAGACTAATCATGATTTAAAAAATAATGTTTTCCATAATCAAGCAGCTCTACTTCAAATGTAAAAAAAGAAGCAGTCTTTAAATGTATTTACATTTTATATTTAAGTAGTGTAAGTAATTACTTTAGGAAAAGTAATCCAATAGAGGTCACTGCAGTTCATTTCTGTAGAATCACATGATTTGACCTTTGACTCTAATGGTGCCTCCATGTTGGATCTAAACCCTGAAATGAAACTATCTTAGGGGTGTCCTGTAGGTAGAACAGCAACTGTTGCTAGGCCAGAGGAGACAAAGTCCAACTTTGTTACAATTGACTTTATTATCACAAGTCATAGAAAGGCAAAAGCAGGGAATGTGGTACGCAGGACATTTAAATTTCCAACCTCAAAACCCCAGGTCACTTCCTGTTTCAAACATGCACATGCAGCGCGGTATTTTCAAAATAACCTGCTTTTTACAATCCTGCACCTGACAGCACTTATATAAAGGGGTTAATATGTCAAAGGCCATAGTTGATATTTTACCAGCAGACATGTACATGTGATTTCCTCCTTTAGCTGTACCCAAAATGAACGAGTCAGGATCTGTGCAGTCACAAAGTTTCACTTTCGGTGATTCAGACATAATCCTGCTATTTCAGATTTCAACAAGAGACAAATGACTGATAGGGAGCTGTCAAGTTCCCGAAAACATGGAGGTGACTTTTCTAAAACGAGTGTGAAGGGGAAAAGCAGGCAGCTTTATGTGTTACTGCGCTGCTGCTGGTGTGGTTTAACACATGTGGTTCCAGCTCTTTGCACACTGCAGGGTTATTTTCAGGCAGTGAAAGAAAAGCACAAGTCGGTAACAGGAACCTCTGTCAGACTTCAGAAGTCACTAAGTCGAAATATTTTTTCATGGTAGTTATTTAACATAAATATATTTATATATGCTAGTTTCCCTATTTGATGTTGTGCTTGTATTTAAAATAGTAATCCTTTCTCAAAGTATTAGAAAATGTATCTTTCCTGTAGAAAATAATAGTTGATTATATGTATCTTCAAGTAATTGACCTTGATCCTCTGGCCCAATGGTATATTTGTGTGTGTGGCTTTTTTTTTTTTTTTTGCCTAATCTTGTGTTACTTGAACTGAATATCAATTAGAAGTCTTAGTTATTTATTTCCTGCAATATTTTAGCTCTTTCGGCTAACATTTAGCATTTCTCATCCAATTACTAGGCAGAGAGCAAAAGGAATTTTTCAGTTTTCACTGATTGCAGTTACGGCTATCTCTTCCCTGCTGCAGTCTGTGTTAGCTCTGTGTCTGTACTCTCAGGATGTGATCTGAACAAGGTTAATATATCTTTATTGCAACTGTTTTGTTTGTCCACTTACATGACCTGACAGTTGCTTCCCAAAAAGCAGCTAATCAGGATGTGTGACCGTGACAAATGATATAAAGTAAAAAGCCTTGTTCCTACTCCAGTTTTAGTCACAACTTCCCCAAATCCATGAGAAGCTACAGCCAAGCATTCATGGTTCCCTTCTCTGACCTGTACATTCTGTGCTGAGTGGGTTAGCAACTGACAACTTCAGATTATATAAAAAAAAAAATCAAGGCTTTGTTTTGCCTTTTATTTTTTGCCTTAAATCAAAAATCACGTGCAAAAGTCATTCGTTTTCCCATAAAAAGTTTAAGGAGACCAGTAGGAAAGATAAAAGATTAGCTAAAGGTTATAGCCAGCTAACCTTTAACTAATCTTTTATCTTACTGACTAGCTAGTCATTAGTAAAAATGTAAATTCAAACGGTTAGTCATGACAATAATTTGAAGGAAAATGAGCAGAAAATTCCCAGAATTCTAGAAATTCTTAAAATATATTAAACTCAGAAATAGATAAACCTTAGCAAACGCAAAATAGGCATAAGTAGAAAAAATTTAAATATTACTGGATAAAGAAATACTGCTGTATTTTATGGGGGAAAAAAAAGTATAATCTCAACAAGCGGTCCAATATAAAGCAGTATGCATGTCACAACCGACCCCCTAAACCAGACTTTGGACATACCTGGGATAGGATATACATTTTTTTATTTATCTTTTTCTTCTAATTCCTAACTGGTCTTTTATAAAATAACCAGGATCATTTTCTACCCTCTAAAATTAATAATAATAAAAAAAACCTTCTACAGAAAACAGACTATTGAAAAAAGCTCCTATGTGAAACCATGTGTACGTCAGTGAATGCATGTTACCCTGCTCGCTGTCACTAAACACACACAAAAAATAGTTTCAGTTACAGACTGTTTTACAATTCCTTTCCCAAGCTTCCCTTTCTGTCACTTCTCCATAATTCTTGGTATTTCAGTTAGACAGGTCTTTGTGAAGCTTCCCCTTTTCCATAGATTCCTATATTTCATGATTTCCACTTCTTCCTCTTCACTTGTACAAACAGAGGTAGAAAGACATGGGGAAATCAGTCTGTCACCGCACGGTGACATGACATGTGCAACTTTCTGGGACTTGCGAGATCTGTCAGTTCTCTAAAATATTTCTGCTCTGCTCTGGTGGGAAAGTATGGAGCCGCTCGGACACTTCTCCTTTCTGGCTCAGTTTGGGAGCAGACCAGAGATGAGGTGTTCACTAGGCTTCAGTTGCTGCTGTTTATGCAACGTTTTACCAACAGTGTGTAACCAAGGGTTACTGGTTCTCATGCGACTCTTATCATCTTACGTAGAAAGGATAACAGTTCTTAAAAAAGCTGAATGTACTTCTAATATTTATACAGTAAGAGCCCGAGAATGTACTAAACAGCTATCTTCAACATGTGGTCTGCAACCCCAAACAGGACCACAGAGATATTGCAAGGGGAGGTTTATTATTTGAATCTTCATATTGCATTCAGAATGACATCACATCATAAGGTGCTTATGCATGGCACTAGTCTCAGTTTAAGGTATACATAGTAGTGTCCTGAAGTAGTTCCTGTGCATTTCCTCTGAAGTATTCCCACTCAAATGTGATATTCCTATTAAATTATTCCTATTTACATGTGATATTCCTGCTCAAATCCTTGTAGAAAAAACTTTTTTTAACACTATCCAATCTGATACTGTCAATTATTTTAAGGTGGTATTTTCTGTTTCTTAGAAATATGATACAATAATGCATTAACCCACACTGACAAAATGCCAGGGAAAATATTACAACTTTTCCAGAGACCAGAGCAGTATTGCTGAAGATTATATTCATAATGTACCAACAGACATATAGTATATTTTCCATTTATCTCTCTATTGAGCTACTTTAAAAAATACGACCCCTTTGAGTTTGTGCATCTGTACGTGGAGGACTGTGTTCCTGTGTGTCGCTCTTTCTCTCTCTCTCTCTCTCTCTCTCTCACACACACACACACACACACACACACACACACACACCACTGTCGTCCCTCGTTTTGCACTGCTTCCTGTTTCCTGTTTATCTTGCTGTCATTTGCTTCACCCGAAGTGTGATTGTGTGAAATGATCTCCGTGTTTCCTCACTTCATCACTCACACAGTCAAACGGTGCACTTGATGAACGCACCTGTGAATCCTGATCGCATTTACTGTAGCACCTCTGTCTGTGCTGGGACGTGATCTCGTACAATTTCATAACACACACACACACACACATGCACAGGACTATTTAAAACACGTCGTATCATCAGCAGATATTGTTATAGTTGCAGTTAGCGATGTTATTTTTTACACACCTGGCCTCCGCTTGACAAAGCAAAAAAATTGAGTGTGAGAAATTTTGTTGACGTTTGGTTTTATCACTGAAGTGGTTCAATTTACTGTCATACTATCAGTGTCACACTGAGTAATCTCCCTCTTTAGGAAGCAGCACCATGTTAAATAAGTCGTGTTCTAAACCGTGGCCCCCCCTCCCTCCCTTGCCCTCTTTTCCAGTCTGTAACATAAAAGTTGAGGCTCGCAGTGATGAGGAGAATGGGCTGTCCTGTGACATGAATGGCATGGAGGAGGAGGAGGAGGAGTGTGCGGAAGACTTGCGCGTGATCGATGCCTCTGGGGCCAAGGTGAACGGCTCACAGCCGAGCCCCGAAGCCAAGGCCTTCACCTCGGCCGGTGGTATCCGGCTACCCAACGGGAAGCTCAAGTGTGATATCTGTGGGATAGTTTGCATTGGCCCCAATGTGTTGATGGTGCACAAGCGAAGCCACACTGGTAAGCTGACCTGCTGTACATGCCCATCCTTTGCATCCATCTTCACTGACAGTAGGAAATAATGGATCAAAGAGAAGCCAAAGAAAAGTGGCTCTAAATTTTAACAATATTGTTTAATGGATCATTAAATGACCAAAACAATTTTTGTTTTTATCTCAGAAAAAAACAAAAAAACAACCTAAGGACCTGAGGGAAAAGCTAAATACTAATTGTAATATATATTTATGAATTGTTTAATATATATAAAAAAGCTCTATTTAAATGACGATTGAGCAAAAACCCGTTCTACTTCATTATCACAATAATTACTCACATAAAATATTTAAGATGAGAATTTTTCTGTATTTTATAGTAATTATAACATACTGTTATATTGTCATACATTCAGGAAACAATGAATATAAACCTGTATCATTAAACAGAACAGATCTTTTTAGATTATTTACACAGAATATGGCATTTTTAAGTGAGAACTTACGCATGTGCACCATTTTCTATTTAGTAAGCTGCACTTATACAAAGAATTCTTTTTCTTTTTAAACAAAAACTCAAAAGATGCTAAAAAACCAGAAGGAATGGAAGAAAGAGGCATAAAACCCAAAGAACACTGTCCTCACAGTGGGAGAAATATTAGTGTTACATGACGCCAGAGAGGTGGCGCTCTTGCCTCAAAGCAAGATGATCAAATTGACCTTGTGGAATAATTTGAGTGGACATGGTTGTTTGATTAAGGACACACAGCCAACTATCTTAATAATTTTGACCTTGTAATGTTTAATGTACATAGCGTCTGTATTCAACGATATGTCCAGAAATGCTGCACAAATCTAAACTAAACTAAAAAAAAGAGTTATTTTTCCTTATATAATAATTCGGTCCAAAACCACAAAGTCAAGTCTTCTGTTTGCCAACGCCCTCAAATGTATCTGTGACGGCCCGCGTGCACGTGGCATACAGTACCTGTATGTTCCACAGTGCATGAAATAGACTTTCAGCAAACCATTAGTGTTCATTATTGTTCTTCTATAGTGGATCCCAGTTACCGCATTACAAGCAGCAGTAACTGGTCACATTATTGTGCGATAAAGTCTGAGATACAAACTTCGTCAGAGGAAACTATATCTGTCACTATTATATGGAATTTAAATGAAGCCACAATTATCTGACTTTTAATGTTTTAAAGATGATCAAAAATTGATATTGGACTGTAATGGAACTGAACCAGTGGTGGGGAACATTTCTGAAAAAGACACTTAACTGTCAGGCCTTAGAAACTAATGAAAGTCAAAATGAAAGAAAGGAACACTAGACTAATGTAAATGCAAAAGGAAGTAGAATAAAGGAAATAATAATGAAGTGGCTTCTATTTAAATAGAAAATATTCTCTGGTGAGAATCCTGAAATGCATTTTTAATGAATTTCCTTTTTTATACGTTTTTGCTGCTTCACTGGTGACTCTTATTTTATGTGATGGGGGGCTCATATTAAAACCTTCTCACAGAATGCCACAACAGTCAGAGAGGCTGGATATTGGTTGATTCCAGAGGCGCTGATCAGGAAGACTGGCTCTCAACACAAAGTGTTTCCTCTGCTTTATTCAAATGAGGCTGAATTTGCATTGTGATGTGCCGTTCTTATTTTAGAGACGAAGAAGAGTAAAAAATGAGATTTTCAGATCAAATTGACCCAGGCAATGGTGCATTACGGAGCTGGCAGGCTGAGTCTGAAAGGCTCTTGTTCGATCAGAGCAGCAGAAGTCAGTGGGGCAGGGGGGAGCACGGGGGAGACGGAGCATCACTCTGCTCCGAAACCCTCCCACTGCTGCTGGATGGCTCTCAGCCGCACATATGCTCCATCATCCCACTTGTTCTGGCGCCCTAGATGCTTGTAGTGCGGTGACCCTTCATCCCCGCAGCAACAGTCTGCCTTCCCACCACATGGCTGTGACAAAGACCTTGTGTTTGTGTTATTAAACAGGACGTAGCAGTGAAACCTGGGAGGGCTTTAAATTCATGTCCACATTAAAAACATGAACAGGTTCCATTGAAAACATACGTGTTCTTCCATCTTGACTGTCTGCGGTAGAATTAACCACTTTACTGCACAAACTACGGATGGGAAAGAACAGTTATTATAGCATTTTTATTAAAGCAATGATGACTCAGTGTTAATTGTTGAATATTTTTGTCTTATTTGTAAAAACTAAATCTGTACATTTTAGCTTAAAACAACACAGGAATCATTGGGGAGAACATTAAAACCAAATCAAAGAAATTAATACATTTAAATGCACTATACTTTAGCACTTTTTTTTTTTTTTACATTATTCTTTTCTCGTAAGAGTATATTTTTACTCACAACAGCCCCCAAATTGAGATGGTGGTTACCATTCAGAGCTTTTTGTTCCTTTTGTTGAGCTGTGTTTTTGGTATGGATGTAGGCTTGGAGAAATGTCTCTTTATCACCAACATCATCACATTGTATTTGGGTATTTTACAGTGACCGACACAAACTTCCTTAAAGAATTACAGTCAAAGTTGTTTCTCTTAGACTTCTGTCCAACCACATCTGTCCTCAGTTCAGACACTGAATAACACAGGGAACTGTTGTCCCCTGAAGGGAGTGGACAACTCTGTCCAGAACTTCAGAATCATTTTGCGCTAGGCCACGTCAGAGCTTTGCTGATCAGTTTTCTTCTTGTCTTTTTTTTATGTAATGTTACTGTTGTGCAACAACAGCAGGGCCTGTGCTCACCGTCTTACATGGAATTTTAATTGTCTTAGAAATTCATTTGTAACCCTTTTCCACAAGATACCAATGGCTTCCCTTTCATTCCGTTCAAGGCTGTTGAAGCAAACACATCATTTCATTCTTTCTTTTCCATTGTGTTTTAATCTCCAATAAATTAAATTCCCTTATTTACTTTTACTGACTCTATTATTCAGTTCGCTATGAAATCGAAAAAGCTCCAAAGTAAAATCTCTCACTTTCAATCCTTAGCTTTACAACCAAGTTTGTTTATGCTTTAAATCAACTGCGTGAACTTATGTTTTGGTCTTTCTTCTTTTCAAGGAGAACGTCCTTTCCAGTGCAGCCAGTGTGGCGCCTCCTTCACCCAGAAAGGTAACCTGCTGCGCCATATCAAACTCCATTCAGGGGAGAAACCCTTCAAGTGTCACCTGTGCAGCTACGCCTGTCGCAGGAGGGACGCCCTGACCGGACACTTACGCACCCACTCGGGTGAGTACGCAGAGGTCATGCACACTGCAAAGTTCTGCCCCCAAGGCTATTCTAGGCACATTATGTGGAAGTCTCCATGAAAGGCAGTGTATACAGTGAGAGCCGGCGCTAAATAACGGGAAGTTGAGCTGGTGGATGTGGTAGCATTTTGTGTGTGTGTGTGTGTGTGTGTGTGTGTTTATTTTTTGGAAATCATTTGCAGAAGTATATGCTGATGAAATGGTGCGGCTGTAAATACCTCAGTAACAGTGTCTGCTCCGAAAAGAGTAAATATTATGAGAGGATAATGGTAATGAGGCGTCGTGCCAACCGTGATGCATTAATATTCTCAAATAATGCTGTATGATAATTATTTTGATCAGTACTCTATACTGTGTATACAAGTACAAATAATGGCCACAGCTGATCGTCTGCAGCATCAGTTGTTCAGTGAAATCTTCCATTAGTCTCAATATTACAATAATTATATTATTCTTTCTTTTCAGTGGGAAAACCACACAAGTGTGCCTATTGTGGGCGGAGTTATAAACAACGCAGTTCTCTGGAGGAGCACAAGGAGCGGTGTCACAACTACCTCCAGTGCATGGGGCTGGAGAGAAGCATCTACCCAGGTCAGTGACTCATGGGATCCTGACTTAACCAGGGACCAGGCCTCTTAACTGAGAGACTGTGGGTGATAGTGACGCAATACAGTTAGTTTGTAGTTGTCATTTTTTGTTCCAGTTCCTTGGAATCAACATTTGTCTGACGTCAAATGGCATCAAATTCTACAGGGAATTTCAAATAAGGTGGAGGGATAATCTGTAGCTCCTGTGAATGATTGATGTAAAAACACGCTTCAACCGAACACATTTCTGTTGTTAATATTAATGTTTTTATATATTTTTTTCATATATTGTGTGATGGACACGATATATGAAAAAAAAAATATAAAAACCCTACATTTATCCACACTGCAAAAGCATCTACTGTATGGGTTTCCTAAATTAGCTAGGCCTGAAGCACTGTTATTAAAAAAACAACTAAGAACAAAGCTAGTGCTATTTGTCACTAAAAGATACAGTTAAAAATTCATATATATATATATATATAGGAATTAGTTAATATAAATCAAAATGCTGCTGATCATAGCTTATCTTAAAGTAGATTAGCACTAAAGTTTTTAGTACATTTAATAAACCTTCCCCTCCTACAGTATTATCCTGGTCAAAATGCTAATGTGAAGATTAATTTTCCAACACCACAAATACCAGGCCAATATGTTTATGTGCAGGAGGTTTCAACATAGACTTTTAGAGATAGAAACATTTGAATGATGTACAGGAGCGTGAACAAACACTATGTCCGGTGAGTAGAACATACCAGCAGCCATGTTGGTTATCAGGTGTATCACATTAAAACAATACAAAGTCAAGTTACCCTGACTCTGAAATCTACTTCTCTGTCTTGCTTTCCAGTAATAAAGGAAGAAAGCAACCAGAATGAGCAGAGGGGAGACTTAACCCAGACGGGATCTGACAGAGCCTTGGTGCTAGACAGACTAGCTAATAATGTAGCTAAACGTAAAAGCACTATGCCACAGAAGTTTGTGGGTAAGGGCTTAAATCTGCTTCCTTTGTTTAAAACTAATACGAGTGTTTGAGAAAGTTGTCTTACTGCTGTGTTAGTTAGTGTTTGTTTGTTCTGTCCATAGACTGTGTGTAAGAAACAGATGACCTGCTGCAAACTTATATACTACTATACTTTTATATCGAAATAGATGTGAAGTTTGAAAACTCTCAGTCACTTAGATCATTCCATCCTAAGAAGTTCATAAATAGGCAGCTGGACAGAGTAAGGTTTCCTGAAGTTGTTCACTTCCTTTCAAGGAGGGCTCTTCAAAATTCTTATAAAAAATAAAAAACAGAAGTTCTCAGAAGAAAAGAGGAATTCCAGAGAAAACCCCTAGAAAATTAATGTGTGTGTGTTTTTTAATCTAAATAGAAGTAATGAATCACTTTAAGAAACCTAGGCACCGTCCAGTATCCCCTTTTCTAAACTTTTTAGGGTCAAGAAAATGTAAAAAAAAAAAAAAAATCAATTAAAAATGAATTGTACAACAATAGATCATCTTGAAAAATCTTTAAAAAATCAAGTCTAAAAATGTTTTTCCGATGGGTGCATTCATTCATTTCTTATATACAGTCTATGGTTTTGCCTTCGCTGCCACCTTGGCTCTGCAGAGTGCATGAAGCTTAACAGAAACTGTTTTTGTTTAGTTCAGATTTGTGTGTTTCATTAAGTTAGTATCACTTTAATTAGTACAGTTCACATTGTGTGAATGTTAAATTCTCGGAATTGATATAACGATGATCTTCAGAACATAAAGAAAAGGAGAAATCCAATGAATGTATCTTGAGATGAAGAGTGTTTCAGAGTATAACCTTTATGTCGTGTGTGTTTCTCTGTGGCTCCAGGTGACAAACATCTGTCAGAGCTTTCCTACGATGGAGCAGGTGAGCTCAATCAGCCCCATTTTATGGACCAGGCCATCAACAGTGCTATCAGCTACTTAGGGGCTGAGTCGCTGCGGCCTTTGGTCCAGACATCTCCAGCCTCCTCATCTGATGTGGGTCTCACGTCCATGTACCCTCTCCTCAAACCAGCACCTGAGGCCCTGACAGGGACAGGTCACAACCTGTCAGCCAAAGACAGTGCGGCTGAGAACCTGCTGCTCCTCTCCAACTCCAAGTCTGCCTCCAGCGAGAAGGACGGCTCTCCCAGCCACAGCGGCCAGGATTCCACTGACACCGAGAGCAACAATGAGGATCGTCCGGGAGGGGCAGCACCGGGCCTCATCTACCTGACCAATCACATGACATCAGGTGGGAGGAACGGGGTGCTGCCGCTGGTGAAGGAAGAGGAGCAGAGGCAGTTGGAGGCCATTCGGGCCAGCATAGAGTTGGCCACTGAGGGCTTCAAGGTGTTGTCACCAGATGGCAAGCAAGTGAGAGCCTACCTCTGCCAACACTGCCGCGTTCTCTTTCTAGACCACGTCATGTACACCATCCACATGGGCTGCCACGGGTTTAGAGAACCGTTTGAGTGCAACCTCTGTGGCCATCAGAGTCAAGACCGCTACGAGTTCTCCTCTCACATAACACGGGGGGAGCATCGCTACTGAGACACACACGTACACACACTGTAGACCGTGAATAAGAAATGGCTGTAAGAGCTGTCGGTTGTTTGTTTTTTTTTATTCAAAAAAGAAAATCAGCATTTAATTGATATTATCTGACATAGTTCTTCTTTCTCCGCGAAAAGAGAAAGAAGAACTTTGGCTGAGCCACAAGCAGCAACATCAGTCAGTAGTTCTGTCGTTGGTGTTGGTGAAATGTCCACACTGTAAACTAATATACAGAGAGTTTTAACTAAACGTTTGGTCAAAGTGAGGCTACTTTATTCTATTAATATGTCAGTACACATGTTCCTAATAATCATATAAACTCTTGGTTGGTCAGCTGATTATTAAAACACTATACCAGTTTTGAAGTAAAAAGACAACCATCCATCCAAAGTAAGGACAAGCAGGAAAATTGAAATCTTGTTATCTTGGACATGACTCAAACTGGGAAATAATCAAATAAAATGGTTTGAAAAAAAAGTGTACTTATAAATAAAGTCAGAAGTTTCCTCAAATGTTCCATGGACTTCCAGCTCTGCAGAGCTACATCTGAAACTAACACGACAGATTTGGTCCTTTTCCTTTAAGCGATGGCTATAAGCGGCTACATCCCTTTCTTATATATAAAGTCTATGGCATGTACACACACACAGGCGCACACACAAACACACACACAGAGGGAAAAAGGGGTTGATACAAGAAAAAAAGAAATCACACTCACAGAGGTTCAACTCAAGTCCAAAAACTAAATGTAAAATACACTGCAAATGTCCTAAAATAATGTTTTTTTACACATTGTGCATGTATGTTAATCACAGCTAAATGTAAACAGATACAGTTGAAAAAAAAAAAGAATTTTCTTTTTTTTTAAGAAATGTCTACTGAAGACAGTGCAGCTTTGCTCCTCACACATTTGTACGTGGCTACATGTAAAGAATGTACAAATATGAATTCATTTGGAGAAAAAGTGTTTTTATTTTATTGTTAGACTATCATAATTTTACACCTGATCATTTACACCTATATGTAAGATGTAAACATTTTGACTCCATATTCATTTTTATGTTTTTGATGCTTAGAAAAAGATCAAATTTCCCATTTAACCTTTGACCTTTAGTTCCCATGTGCGCTGAATTCTCCATTTGTTGTACATAATGTCGTTTGGTTTTGTATTTATTGCGATGGCTGTTTGATACTTCTTGAAAAAACAATATTAAAATGAAAACTTCACTGCTGCTGGATACATACCTTTTTTATTATAAAATGACCATTATCCTGGCTTGTTTTCTATTCTATTTGTTCAAAACTTCCGCCACTAAAATAAATACAAGTGGATCATTTGATGGGAACTATATGCTTGCAAAAATATCAATAAAGTTATTTTATATATGCACAAAATGTGTCATTGTTTGGTTTTGCAAAGAAAGAAATTGAAAACCAAATTCAGAAGAGTGTGTTTTTATAACAGACCAGAAAACAAATGCCTTCTTATTCAGTTTAATTCATACCTGGGCTGTAGATTTACCAGACAGAGTTAATGACTAGTCCAACTTCCTTCACATTTCCTAACGCTTTCTTACAAACGCACTCAACGTTTCCATTCTCAGCATGAACTGTCTGAAATAATTGGACATCCATCATCTTACAGCTCACTTCTGTCTGTCAATGAGGACGAAAGAGATAGGAAGAAACTGGCATTCGTATTTTTCAATTTTCATTTATTTGTTTATTTATTGAGGTCAACAAAAATATTGCAACCACACGCAGTCAAACGATTGCGTTTGATTTCATTAATAATATTCAATTTATTGCTTATCTATTTTTCATTATAAGCTTTCACACCAGTGATACTGCCACACAAAATTGTCGTTAAATTCTATACATATTTCCTATTGCATCTTTAACTGTTAGTAAAACAAATCTTGAATAGTCATATGTCACTATTATTATTAATTAATTAATTAATCAAATGAATCATAATTAGTTGAATATAAACAAGTGACAAATAAACTTGAATCTCTCACAGATACAGGTCCTCGATGCCGTCACTACCAACACCATCACAGATGCTAGCTTTGGCATCTTTGTGTGTGCTGCTGAAGTTGATTGCCTTATTTATTTTTGGAAAGTGTAATCAAACATCTGTTTTGCTCATTATTGACTCATCTGATCACAGAACATGTTTCCTTGTCTTTTGCTCCGTTGAGCTCAAGCCCAAAGCACTCAAATTAATTAAATCAATGTAACTTTTTTTTTTGTTTGTTTGTTTTTTTTGGCCCTCTATGTGCACGATACTGTGTGAAGAAGCATTTTGATGCAGTAGCGGATTGTAATGAGCTACACTGATTTCCTCGTGTAGTTTTGGGTCCCTGTCGTCAAACAATCCACAGATATTTATTCTCATTCGACTTCTTTATAACATAATGAAATGGAGATGTTGACAGGCCTGAACTTACTGCTATCTTATATATATATTGACCTACATTTCTATAGGTCACACAAATGTGCAGAGAACCACGACTTGTGACCTACAGAGCAACCACAGACTAAGCCTTTGTTAGATGTTCCTTTTACATCCTTATCCTAACATGTAACGCCATGTATCATTTAAAAATAAAAACTTCATGTGTATTTATCCATTTGCTTGTACATTTTTATGTGAACCAACTATATTATTAGAAATCAGTTCACAAACATTAGAATTATTTGCCTTTAAATTAGGAGAAGCCTTGTCAGTATCTTTCCATTGTCATACAGTATACCTTAAAACAGAACTATTTAAAAAATATAATACAGAACTTGGTCACCAATTCATGTGACCACAGTGGTACACACACACACAAACACACACACACACCCACACACCTGGAACACAGAGGCCCAGTAACCGGAGCAGAAGGTTACTGGAGCCCTTGTGGGCCCGGTGTGCAGACTGGTGCCCAGTCAGGGCCTGTGTATGCAGTAGCACTACACGCTCAGTGGTGACAGTTTCATCCAGATGGCTGCAGTGTGATTTAGCAGAAAACGGGAAACAGCTGTGGTCCTGACCAAGTCCCCTTACGCTTGACTGGGGCCCAACCAAGGAGACAGGACATTTGCATGCAAGGAATAATCTGACCAATCAGCTCTGGCCCTGCCTGTATCCCAAATCTCACTTCTGCTTTCAGCCACTTGACTGACATCTCCCTGATAATACGACAAATCCAAACTATACAACTTGTAGTTGGCCAACAAGATGTCACTCATCCATGCTGTACCTTGGAGCGCGAGATCCAAAATGTGATGTTTATAAATGGGATTTTTTCACACAATTAAGAGATAATATAAATAAACATTTTCTTTGTTTCTTCAACTTCACATCAATAAAAATGACACTAAAAACAAAACATTAATAAAACAAAACTTTCTTCATAGTTAACCCAGCCAACTGAACAGAAAGTGAGCAGAGCTTTCACACTAATAGCGCATTACTGTTAAAAACAGTAAGTGTCAGTTTAACAAATGTGTGAATAAACAGATTAAGAAACACTATGGTGGATAAATAAGGATGCAAATAAAGTGACTTTCTGTAAACTTTATCCATGGTATATGAAACTGAGAGGAAAAATTAGTTTATTAGCGTTACGGTACTAGCGTATTCATCACTACTGTGCATCACCAGCTGATTTATTAAATTGCTTGTATATGTAACAGTTCAAATTCTACATTAAGTCCAGCTCCTGTCTTTGTCCCTGATATTGAAATACATCCAAAGTAATGACCTACTTACAGTAAATAAATTATATCCGGGCAAGAAGACACTGAACTACGCATTACTGGAATACTATGGAATTAACATGAACTATGGCACAAATTATTAATATTTTTGTATTACTTAAAAATCATACTGCAGTGTTATTAAGATGATAGATGGAAATTATTTGACAAAAGTGGTGTCTTAAAATAAAACAAGCAGACCAACGTTGAACTGCATGGTACTACAGTAAACTGACTCTATGCCCCATGTTTTGAGTTTCAAGAAAATAAAATAATTCTGAATCTAATTTATTTTAACTGGTAGTCCAGTAATTAAATCTTTTTTTTTTTATCACAATACTGAATATTCAGTGGTAAATGGCTGTGAGATGTGCGTATCTGGCCCACAGACAGTGTAGGTGTTTGTTTGTTTTCACTCAGTTCACCGTGTAATCAGCACGTCTGTCACAACACAACCTCGTCACCGCCGCCACACGGCTGCAGTCAAATTGAGCGACAAGCGACACCATATGGCACAGTTCTCAGGCCTCACTCTGCGGATCCCAGCAGCACCAGAGGAATTCTGTGCATCTGTCCCAGTCCAGCTGTGAGGAGTCCTGGTGTTCAGAGACACCCAGAGGGGACGGGGGCCGAGGAGGGGCTGCTTTCACTGTTGGCTAATTCAACAAAGTTTCAATAGAGTGGCCAGAGACACACACATCTGAATCATTTATTAGCGACTTGACAAAAAGATGAAAAATAAATGAAAGTATTTTTTCATGGTGTTCCAGATTTCAAGCATTTTCTTCATGAAATAAACATGAGAATTTCACTTCATGTGTGCACAACATTTAATGCTCCTCCTCAGCAGCAGAGTTTAACCTGAGCAGCTGGACATTTTACATGTTAAAGATTAACAATGTCAACAATATTTGGATTATAATGAGCTGCAGAAAAGACACCTATAATCTCTACTCTGGGGCCTCTGAGATTTATAAGACAGTTTATCATTTTAGAAAGCATTTATTGATGCTTAAGATTTTTTTAAATAGTATTTTGTAACCTAAAATTAACATTTTTAACATTTTGAATTTTTTCCCCATAAACTTTTATTTAGCAAGATTGCAACATTTTTACAAATAATTATTTATTAAGATAAATACTAATGTACTGCATAGCATAGTACGTTGTAGTAAAAAGTACATGGAGTAAACCTTGCCAAATTAGTTATTAATTGACATTTTCATTTAGCAATTTGTGGCTATATGATTAACTTCTACAGTTCCTCATTTGCAGGAAAGGAAAACATTTCATCAGCATTTTAATCAGTAATGCTTTCAAGAACTTAATGAACCCCAAAAAACAATTCAACAAGAACTGCCATATCACTTGGTTTTTATGGTAATCTGAAACCTGATGCTTGCCTGTGGACTAAACCTGAACCCTGAGGATTAGAGGAAGTTCTAAACCAATGCAGCTCAGACTTAACTGACGTGTCTATCACAAAGGATGTGTTGCAGTAAAAGATTTTCCTGTTGAGTCCACTGTTGTCCAACAGGAAGGGAGGCGAGTTTTGGGGGCTTTTAAACATCAAAGCTGGGACACAGTTGTGTTGCTCAACATCCACACATTAGCTCAGAGGACGAAATGTCCCAAAGATGGTTCTCAAATTTAATGAAGCTGCAGTTTTCAGTGGAATTCACCGGAAACAGGAAAATGCAAAAAGTTACGCTAGTGGTTATTTCTACATAAAACATGACAATCTGAATTGGTAAACCTCACTCGTGTTGAGATGTGGAGGAGCAAGGTAGTGTACTGTGTCGGACATAGACACACAGACAGGCTCATTACAACACCTCACTTTTCCAGTGTTGAAAATTTAAGGTTATAAAATAAATGGATAATTATGCAGTTTTTAAATTCTGGTTTGTTTGGACAACATTATACAATTCCACAACTTTAAGCAGTAAAATGCAACTCAAACAACAAATGTTAAATATTAACATGAGCGTAGATAAAACTCAAGAAGGAATGCCACCACATACTGTAAAATAGAATCCATAAACTTTGAAATACCAGATGCATTTTGTCTATAAAAATAATTTATTTTAAAATTAAAAAAAAAAAAAGTACCCAAGAAAGTGATGCAGCCTCTAATTTTAAAAGTGAAGCCCATGTAGCAGTGAACCACAAAAAAAGGGCAAAAATCTGTAGAAAGCAGAATGAACACACTCAACACAGTTTGGGTCGTCAATGCCATTTTTAATTTCTAATATTTTATTTCCAACATAAATTCCACAATCAGTAATTTGTATAGAACGAAAGGTTTAGCGGCCACATCCAAAGGTCTTATTCCACTCATCATACAACTCCAAATCCTTCATTGAGACACTGGGTCGCACCGTCCTCAAGGCCTCTTGAAAGTCACTGTAGAGGATGGGTCGCACCTGCTCAGCTGTGATGGTAGAAATGTCACAGAGCTGGATGCTGCGGATGGGCCCCAGTGCTGCCTCTCGACACAGCTGAGTCATGTCGGCCCCAGAGAAGCCCTCCGTAGCCGCTACAATGCTGACGAGTTCGTTCTCTTGCAGGTAATTCTTCTCTTGAGCCATGAGGTTTGTTACAATCTGATGTCGCGCAGCTGGTTCAGGGAGAGGAATGTACAACCTTTTAGCCAGACGTCGACGTGCAGCCTCGTCTATCTCCTGGGGCCGGTTGGTGGCACCTACCACCAGGATGCGATCCTCGGCTGCCGTGGCAGCTCCATCCAGCTGAACCAGGAACTCAGTTTTTATCCTACGCGATGAGTCGTGCTCCCCGTCTGTCCGCTGGGATAACAGAGAGTCAATTTCATCGATGAAAATGACAGCAGGTTGGTGGCAGCGGGCGATAGCAAACAAGGCCCGCACCATCTTTTCCCCTTCGCCAACCCATTTGGATGTGAGTGATGAAGCACTAATGCTGAAGAAGGTAGCGCCTGACTGACACGCAATACATTTTCCTATCAGAGTTTTTCCAGTTCCTGGGGGTCCAAACAAAAGGATGCCTTTAGGTGGTCCACGGAGTCCTGTGAAGATGTCAGGTCGAAGCATGGGCCAAACAACAATCTCTTTTATAGTAGTTTTGGCGAACTGCAGACCTGCAATGTCATCCCAGGCCACAGGAGGGCCATGATCCATGATCTCACTCATGATCAGCTCAACAATCTTTGGCTCAAAGTTTTTCAGTCGCTCATCCACTATCTGATTTTCAGGGGTAGAATTGCGATTTCCTCCGTTTTCTTCTTCATCCTGCCGGGGCATTGGTGACACAAATTTGGAGGATGCACCGCGAGGCCTGTTAGCACCCAGAGATTTTTTCACAGTTGTCGTTATTCCAGAGTTCTGGCCTCTCTGCGGCTGATGAGTGTGTTTTTTCTGCTGATCAATGATGAACTGCTCACGTGCCGATTTGAAATTGCTTCCAGGTCGAGGGTCAGCAGAAAAGCATGACTTCCATTAGACCCTTTGCACGGATCGCCAACATTATTAGTGTAAAAATTCTTACGTTTTGCTGGATTGGATGTGGAGGCTAATGGAGCCTGATAGTTTTGAGCAGCTGCAGCAGAGCCAGAGTTTACCTGTGGAGGAACTGATGATGGATAGATGAATGCAGACTGTGGTCGAGCAAAAGGTTGGGGAAATAAGTTTGTGTTAGCAGTGATTCCCTCAGAGCCTCTTGGCATCTCTGCAGAATGATTAGCCAGAACACTGGCACTGCTGTTAACCTCAGTGCTAGCCTTTAATGGTGCTGTAGGTTTCAACATTGTGGTCTCTGACCTCACTCGTGTAGAATCATGGGAAAATGAGCTGCCTTTGCAATCCTGTCCCACAGTTATGTTAGCATCTGCTTGCGCCACAAGGGAGCCTGCCCCACCTCCACCTCCTCCTCCTGGTGCTGTCTGCAGCATCTTCTGCACGCAGGGTAGCTCCAGAATATTCTCCATGGTCAGGGAGGACTTCCATTTGACACTGTAGTTCCTCTGACTGCGGGCCAGATGTAGTGCACTGTCTGCATAGTTGTTAAGCCCTGTACTGGGGTCATCGGAGTCCAGGACTGCGGCGTAGCGCTCCGAGTATGTACTGAACAGGCTGGCCATGCTGGGCTGTGAGAGCTGAGCGCTTGCCCATGCATACTGAATGGAGAGGATGTGGGCCCTGTGGGCATCTGCCGTCTGTTCAGGTGTACAGTTGCCAGATGAAATGTCAAAGGACCTCCTTTGCCATTCGTCCAGGTGTGGTCCACTCATGCCTGGCCTGCTCCAGCCTGATGAGGGACAGAATTTATTAAAAATACATAACCTGAGTAAAAGTCAAAACACCTCACTCACACCACACATGAAATAACTGCCATTAAATATTGCCTTCAAATTCAAATTTCTGAACATTGTTCAATTTGTCAAAAATTGTATTCAGGTAAACTATTTAACAAAACTTATGCAACTATACTTTGTTTAAGTACATAGAACATAAAACCCAGTCACTTTACGTTTTACATTTAAGTTTCTTTTTCAGTGCTAGCACAAAACATACATGGGACTGAGACATAATGAGTGAGTTTAAAAGTATGTGAATTCCAGTTGCTCAAATATTTTTAAAGTAAAGATCGTGGATTCTGAAAAACAGATTGCGTTCATTGTGCGTCGAATGTGTATTGTGTTGTTATGGGAAAGATTTGATTATATAGAAAATCAATGTTGTACCAAAAGGTAAAAAACGGGTATTATTCAAACTGTACCAAAAATGACACAAATTTTAAAAAAAGAAAACAGAAAAAAAAGCAATGACTAAATTCAGGCAGGACAAAAATGGGACTCGTCGTCACAATACATTGTATTGACATGATATGAAGGACAGCCATGCTGACAGCTTGTTCTGCCCTTAAACTGTTCTAACAAAACGAACACTATACCGAAACCGCTAACGTAAACCCACAGAACACAGCCACAAAACTACGACTGACAAACCTCACTTACTATGACTGATATATTCTCCACACAACCACAGATGCACTGCTCACAGTTCTGTTGTTCCCGCCGCCTGTTTGTTATATCTCCGAGACAACTTCCTGTTCCGGTCCAATCGTCAATCGGCCGCTTCCTCTGTCTTTAAAGAAATAATACAGTCATATATTGATTTGGGTGTGGCTGCATTATAATTAAAAGAGCAACATTGAACAAAATACCACCAAAAGAATTTAGTCTAAGCAACAAATAAATTACACGTTAAGCAACGAGACGCCTGTCCTGGCACTATAGTGGTGTGTTTTATTTAGCTATCGGCATCTTCCAAAGACGTATTGTTAATTTTGACTCGGTGAAGAAACAAATATGTATTATCGTTCATGTACAAATAAATAAAACAACAATAAAACGGTTTTGTGAAACTTAAACAGCTATTCCGCTGCCTGGAATTCGTAGCCATAGTGTAACGAGGTCTATATCGCCATCTTGTGGCCAGCAGAGCCCAATTCATATAGTAGCTGCACGTGTCATATAAGAACTATTATCAATTCTTTTGAAATTTTGTTCGGGTATATACTGAATGATCATATATATTTAACCGAAATAGACATTGTGGAATAAAGTGTTTTTGTTTATTGTGTTTTGCTGATGCAATAAAAGTGTGCTTCCAACATATATATATATATATATATATATATATAATAATATAGAGTAAAAGTAATTTATTATATTTATTTGTTTTACTTCTCAGGCATGGAAATAATTTCATGTAACCCAACTATACAAACAATGATAATAATAAAATTCTAAAAAAATTGGGTTGGTGAAACATTTAAACAACTTTCTAGTATACCCCGGATCAATATGGCGGCATCAGTGCCGTAAAGCTGCAATGGCGCAGTTATTGCGACGTTTTCCGTCGCGGCTAGAGTTGCTGTCTGGACAATGTAGTTTAGTACTATCAAAATATACACCCCGATACAACATAACGCTGTATTTTTTGTATTATTACTTACACAGTACAGTATAGAGTGTATTAAAATTGTTGGTACCGACAAATACAACGATAAAAAGGTGTCAAATACCATTAACCCCTGATTTCGTCACCATGTACAAACTACATTATCCACAAGAGTGTTTTAATTGACGCTATTGACAGGGGACGACAGCGGCTCCTGGGCTTTAAAGAACAAGAAAGACGCCTTTTGTGGAGTAATAGGCTACCTTTGTAAATACTTGGATAAGGCGGCTGGGGGACGTTTAATAAATCTTAAAGAAATCTTAAAGATAGATACAGTTAGTTTCTGTGGCAAAAGCGGAGATAGGATGTAAATGTAATCAGACAGGACCAACCCCGGGAGTCAGCAGCCAGTCACACCCTTGTCTGCAGACTCTGAAGTAACCTACGTGAACCTGTGGGAACCAACGTGAAACTGTTATTCTTATGCATTGGAGGTACATGCTGTTGAGCTACTGACGACAAGAGAGGACCGTTGTACATTTTCTGGGATTTTCTGAAGTGGATATGTCTGACTCATCATCCTCCTCCTCCTCCTCAACATCATCATCATGGTACGGACAGAGGAGATAACCCTGAACATTTTCTGTGCTGCTGTCCAGTGCAGGCAGTGTAGTAGCTAGAGCAAAGGTGAAGTAACTGACCCCTTTTGTTGCATAACCCCTATATTGTATAATCTTTTTGTTAAAGTGGCATTATGAGCAGCCCCATGTACACCTTCGTCTCCCGTGATGACAACAGCAGCGTTTATGCAGAAGTTTCCAAAATCCTTCTGTCGACTGGAAAGTGGAAGAGGCTGAAAAGGGATAATCCCAGATTCAACTTGATGCTTGGTGAACGAAACAGACTGCCATTTGGACGCCTAGGTAATTTAACTTATATACATATAGAGCTTCGATTTTTCACTTTTTTTTCACATGATTCTGGTGCCACATCCGAATGTTGAAACCTCTGCAATGTTCCAAACATAAATATTGGCAGTGTCAGGAAAAATGTGATTAGTCCATCATTGGGCCAGACCAAATTTATTTTGGTTGTGTGTCCTTTAATCTTATATGGAGCCAAACTGAAAACTATTCACTCCATAGGGTTTCTATACAAAAATATTCAATAACTCTTTAACTTTAACTGAACAGGTCATGAACCAGGGCTGGTACAGCTGGTCAATTACTACAGAGGAGCAGACAAGCTCTGCAGAAAAGCATCCCTGGTCAAGTGAGTATAATTTCTAATGGAAAATCTATGCACAAAAAGGAAGGTAAAAAACTGAAACTTAATTAGAGGAACCAAAACAGTGTGTGGAGGATAAATGTGTCTCTTAAGTGAGTGCCTGCTTCATAAAAAACAAAAAGCCTTTATGTGTTGTTCTTCCATAGTTCAAGCTACAAATGCACTTAAATAATGCACGTAAATTATTCAGCGACGATTGCATTAGCTGACTATTTCCATTCTGCTTCCTCAGACTAATAAAGACCAGACCAGAGCTGTCTGACTCTGTGAACTGGTTCCCAGAATCCTACATCATCTATCCCACTAACCTCAACACGCCTGTGGCTCCGGCCGAAAACGGCCTCAGCCATTTGAAGAACAATCCAAAGACAGATGAGCGTGAGGTGTTTTTGGCCTCTTATCATTCTAAAAGAGAGAGTGGGGAAGGGACAGTGTGGATAGCGAAGTCTTCTGCTGGTGCAAAAGGTGAACACTGCCTGTCTGTTTAAATATAGTACTGAAAGTAGGATAACTACTCTTGCTCACCATGTGATTTAGTTTTACAGTGTCCTGGGTGAAAGGCGAAAGGTAAATGACAACAGCGAGGTCTGACAACCTCTGTTTTTTTAATTGGCACAGGTGCAGGTATTTTGATATCCCATGATGCAAATCAACTGCTGGAGTTCATTGATAATCAGGGACAGGTTCATGTTATTCAGAAGTATCTGGAGAAACCTTTACTCCTTGAGCCTGGACACCGGAAGTTTGACATCAGGCAAGTCCTTAAGTATTTAACACACAAAAACAGAGCAGGAGTTATTGTTTCTTCCATTGTAAAACCATTTCCCTTTCTTTCACCAGGAGCTGGGTGCTAGTGGACCATCAATATAACATCTATTTATACAGAGAGGGGGTTTTGCGGACCTCCTCAGAGCCTTACAACAGCTCTGATCTGCAGGACATGACCAGTCACCTGACTAACCACTGCATCCAGCAGGAGCACTCGCAGAACTACGGGCGATATGAGGAAGGCAACGAGATGTTCTTTGACGAGTTCAAGCTGTACCTGATGAACAGTCACAATGTTGCACTGGAGACCACCATATTACCTCAAATCAAGCATATTATAAAGTGCGTATTTCTACTCTTAGCCAGCACCTAAAAAATTGATTTTTTCAATAGACCGAGTGGGCAGATTTTTTGTCCTCCTTGTTCTGATTATACAGTAACATTGGCAGTTAAGAGGTAGAAATATAGGGACAAATTGTTACTCTGTCCTTTATGTCTGTGAGATCAGTACAATGTAACAAAAGTCAGTATTTTATAATTCATCAATGTGTTTTTTCATAGATGTCATTTTGAGGAGAGTCTCGTTGACTCTCCTAAGGGAATGGGTTTTGTTGCTTTACACTTGTAATGATGAAACAGACCCCACTCTTTGGTTTGTAACAATTGACCTGTGTTGGTGAAAAGTGATGACAGATCAAACAAATCAAATGTGTAGTACTATACAAAAATGTACTTCACCCAATACTTAATCATTAATTCCAGGGACAGGGCTACAAGACACCTTTTTCAAGGTACTAGGTACTTTCAGTACTGTGTCATTCCAACAGTACTGGGTGACCTCAAACGATGTTACCTCAGTGGCCAGATTTCTGGATCATGCTCTAAAATGACCTTTTTAATCTTTGTGTTTTAACAGGAGCTGTCTGACTTGTATTGAACCAGCGATCAGCACCAAACACCTGTCCTACCAGAGCTTCCAGCTCTTTGGATTTGATTTCATGGTAGATGAAAGTTTCAAAGTGTGGCTCATAGAGATCAACGGAGCTCCAGCCTGTGCCCAGTCAGTCACATTCAATCATTTCCATTTGTTTCGTTTTTGTATTTCTTCCTACACACTGTCTCTTCAACAGTTACATAAATCAACCTTTTGCCACTTGTGGCATTCTCTCACCTTCAAAGACAGATTGTAATTGTAACAATAGAACAAACCAGGGAACTAACTAAACAATCCTGCTTATTATTATAAAATTATTCCATTGAGTCAAAATTAACCTATTATTATATGTTCAGTTAACTTGCTGTTTTTCTCTCCGTCTACAGGAAACTGTATTCAGAACTCTGTCAAGGTATTGTGGACGTGGCCATTTCAACTGTCTTTCCCTTAAACAGCAGCAGTGACTCCTCATCTGCTTCTTCGTCTCCTTATTCCTCCTCCCCCTCCTCTGCATTCATCACTTCCACCACCTCCTGCTCCTCACCCAAACTGAGGGGACCTCTTCACATAGGCCCTTTCACTCGACTTTGAGCTCCAACTCCAATATTCCCATTGTCTACTTCACAATATAAACTTCTTTATGTTCTGTCACCAGTGCATCTGAGAAGCAGCACAAGCCGAAAGGTTTAGCCTTCCTTACAACACAAAAACAGGCATTTCTCTCAAAAGTACAGGCAAAGTGAAGAGGATCTCTGTAACAGTCTGTGTTTCTCGTGTTGCTGCTGTTGTCGGTGTTGCTTTGCGAGGTTCACTCCCGCCTCTGTTTCATCAGCAGGTTCTCTTTGACCAAGAAAATAAATACAAGTCTGACGGATGATGAAATGCTGCTAAGATAGACTGTAGTGCCTTACATTTCCAACCACATTCACTTCAGTAGACTGCCAGTTAACCACAGGTCCTTGAACCCATTGCTCGCAATAGATTTGTTTTTTTACTCGAGTTGATTTGTCAAATAATATACAATTAGTGGCTTCCTTTCAGCGATGAGACAGTGGTTCCTCACTAGAAACTATTTGTTGTAATAATTTAATATAATCCCTAAATTATCATTAGGAATGTCCCGAACTCTGTCTTGTGGGTTTCTCCGTTGGTTTACGCAAGTGTACAGTAATGAAGGGCACACTCGGCAATAAAAATCTGTAGAAAACTGTAGAATTTATTGTAATATCCCAGTGGACCTTTCTGTGGTAAAGCTCTTATCACTTAAGCAGCAGTTTAATAAACCACTTCCTAATAGAAAAGAGACAGAGCAGCAGACAGAATCACTGATGACAGTGAGAAGAGGAGCATTCAAGGTATTGCTGAAAAAAAAAAACATTTTACTGCAACAAAATCATGCTGTTACTGGTATTGATCTTCCTCGTCTGATGTTTGATTGGACTCTGTTTGAGTCTTTGACACAAATCAGTCTTAAATCAGTCATACTCACTCTCACTCCCTGACACTCTACTTTTCGGTGTCCAAACATGTATATTTAGTTTTTACGCATGATATTAATATTCCATGGCAGTCTGAGTTCAGACAAATGTGACTGAGTTTTTGTGAAATCTCTGTTTTTTTTGTTTTTTTTACAGAGCACAAATACTTTTAGAAAAGCAAATGCAATTTGCTTCAAGGTCGGGCATGACTCTGCATCAGCAAAAGAGAAGCCCTACAGACTGATCAGAAATAGCTCCACTTGTTATGGAAGTAGTTGTAACTTACTGTAAAAACACCAATAACTTCTAGTTTTAGTCCTTGAATATTACTCGTTTTCCAATGCATTTCTTTTAAGCCGTAAATGGTCAATTTTTCATTCGAACTGAGTCTAATCTGATGCACGTAAACCGCACCTTCTGCTCTTGTTTACCCAGTGTTGTGGTTATTTTTGGTGAGAGAAATATTGTCTTTCAGTTTGTGTACTGCAGCAGATTTGTTGAAACCAAAGCAGGGCATATTATTCTGAGTGTGTCGTTGATTAATAGTGTATTTTTTTAGACCCTGTGTAAACGTTGGTTGGGCAGAGACCATACATTTACCTGACTTCATTCTTTGCTGTATCACGGCTCTGTTAGCAAACTGTGTCACATGACCAAAGAAAATAGTCTGCATACAGACATTGGACTAAAACACACATACTGTGGTGTCATCTGTAGTTTTCTAAATTTTTTAGAAAGGACTCTGTCGTCGCTCAGAGGTCAAAGAAGCTACACGCTGTGGTGTACTTTTAATTTCTGTTCTGTGTAGATGGTCATTGAATTTTCCGTGTTATTATTTTTTTTATCTACATTAGCATGTGTATGGCTCTCAGTGTGACATATTGCATTGTTGTAGCACACTGTTGTAGCATTCATTTAAGTTTGTGGTTTTATTGTGTGTATTGTTTGGGTTTTTTTTGCTTTGAAGAATGAAGTATGTTAAGTAGGCTGAAGGTTATTATAACCAATTATTGTGGCCTTCCCTGACCAAAGCCAACCTTGTTCATTTAAAAAAAAAATTGTACCAGAAATCACTGTAAACCTAAAAGTACAGTTTGTGAAACAAAATTTCAAAATCCTGCTATTGCTAAGTGTATACTAAAGCATAATAATGCAAGTAGAAAATCGAGTCCCAGTGTGCATTGATAAATGAGGTACAGTATTGCGATGGTTGTTTGTTTCTAAATTACAAATGTCAGCATTTTTTCTTTCCATCAAAGGGATGGGTGCCTTAGAGGAATTTGCATATGGACTGAGGGGGGAAGCAATGAACCTCCAGCACTAAATGCACCTTTATGTGTTTAGATTGAAATTTGTTTGCAGTATTTTATTTTGAAAACCCTAGATTGAAATTTGTTTGCAGTATTTTAAAACCTTTTCAAATGGATTCATCGGTGATGTCTTTTCCATTGTTCTTCTCTGCCCATTGGACTCATTTTCTAATGTGTACTCTATTTTGTTTTGTCTGTATCAAAGATGAAATTCTATTTATTTTTATCTTTATTTTTTCTTTTTTGTAGTTAATGAAATCTGGACATCTTCATCTCGAATGGATGACATGATAATAGAGAACTTCCATAGTCAGGGGAATGTCTTTGCTGTGCTTTTTTCAGGTGATGTCTTGCATGAAAATTATCTCCATGAAAAACAATACTGCTAGAATTAAAGCATAATGAAATCACCAAAGATTTGTTGTGGTTATTTTTCTGAACCTTGTCTACTTGGCTAAAAATACATCTGCAGAGACAAATACATGTAGATGACCATCTCATGAAACTCTTGGTAAAGAATAAAAATATAATGTTATACAGATACTGGATTACAGAAATGTGTGATTAATAAAAGAAAATATTTCCTATATTCAGTCCAAAAATCTGATATGTATTCTTCAGTAACTGTTAAAAACAAGACCATTGCGACTAATAAGCTATTTGTGTTCTATTTGAAGATTATTTATTTACTTTAAGGATAACATTTGGATTTCTTGTTTCCATGTTTTGCTATCTTACGCTCCATTTAAACTTTACATTAGGTTGGGATTTTACTTTGAAACAGTCAATAATGTTTCCGGTTACAAAAACACCAAGGAGAAAAGTTACCACCACAAGATGGCACCCTCAACTCAAACACATCGGAGAAACCGTAGAGTAAAAAGTCTACTCGCCTGCCTTTTGGTTTGTACTTCCGGTGTCAGTGTGCACATGTGGTAAACAAGCATGGACTTTTGCGAGAAGTGGAAGGATTTACCTAAAAGTCCAAGTTTAAAGAATCTGACACAGGAACGTTTTGGTGTTCTAAAGGAGTCTCAACATGCGGCAGTTCAGGACCTGACCAGAGTACACATCGAGTCTTTTGACCAGGCTGTTACTGATGGACTCAGCCGAGTTGTACAGGTCAGCTACACTTCAATAACTTCTTACTGACATAGAACCATGGAACTGGCTCTGTAACTATTCATCCCAACAACAGTTATGTTGGTTCATTCACTTAATAGCAAAGCCAATAAGAAATACGAACAGTTCTAGAATGATACGATACGCATACTTGCGTACTAAGAAAGTACACGAAAACGCGTTGTCATCTGCATGACAAGGAATTTGTGACCATATTGTTCTCGTTTAGTGCATTGTTTCAATTTACTTACAGAAACACAATTAATATGGTCATAAAACAAAAAAAAAACAAAAAAAAAAACAAAAGGTCATAGGTCACTGTTCATAAACAACATAAACATAATATAATTTGATCTAAAAAGAAAGAGACCCCTAAAGAATATTTAATAATTGCAGTCATAACAGTAATAAAGGGCAGTGATCACCACAGTGGAGTGATGGTTATTTTCTTCAAGGTCCCACTTCATATTATTATTGGTTAACTGGAGAAATTATAATGACGTGGTTGTCATTTAAATAAATTTGCAGCTATAAACACATTTTGGGACATTGGTTTGGAAGCTAAGCTAGACAAATATGTAGGATAAACACCATAGATATCATTTTTAGATTTAAATATGATTTGTAAAAACTCCTGCTTAACATTTAATTTTACTGTGCCTTTGCCTCAGGCCATCCCTCCCTTGGAGTTCACTGTAAAAAATGACAAAATCAGCCTTTCATTTGTCGAAGCCATGATACACAACCCAGTGGTGACAAAAGGCAACATCTGCAGGGAAATGAAGGTGTTTCCAGCTGAGTGCAGAGGAAGGAGGTGCACTTACAAAGGGAAGATAGTGGTAAGAAGCTGCCATTCCAGTCCAGTTTAACAGACACCCGTTCTCACAGACATAAATTAGTTCACCTGACATGTCAGTGATCCACGTTTTGCCTCATTTCAGGCCGATGTTACCTGGTCAATCAATGGAGTTCCCAAAGGTACCATCAAACAGTCCCTGGGTCATGTGCCAATAATGGTCAAATCCAAGCTCTGTAACATCTATGGTATGTCTCCTAAGGAGCTGGTTGAACACCATGAAGAAGCAGAGGTAAAGGACAAATGAGTTTCATTCAGAACAATGCAGAGGCCAATTGTCTTGTATTTATTATCAAATGTAAATAAACCTATTTCACGTCAACAGGAAATGGGAGGTTACTTCATTGTTAATGGAATTGAGAAGGTCATTCGAATGCTGATCATGCCCAGGAGAAACTATCCTATAGCTATGTCGCGACCCAAGTGGAAGAGTCGGGGCCAAGGATACACTCAGTATGGTGAGTGTGGGCTTTCTTTGTTAAAGCTGTAATTGTGTGATTGAAACCCAGGCTTAAAAAATGAAACCTGTATGGCGCCATGTTTTTCTTCTTGAAGGTATTTCTATGCACTGTGTGAAAGAAGAGCACACAGCCATCAACATGAATCTGCACTATCTGGAAAACGGGACTGTGATGCTGAACTTTATTTACCAGAAAGAGCTCTTCTTTCTCCCACTAGGCTTTGCACTCAAGGTGAGTGGTGGTGGTCTGTTGAAAAGACGACATTTACATTCACAATACACACCTTCTTCTCTGCTTTTGGTTGTCAATGTTTACTCTCTCTTTTGTGTTCTTCAGGCCTTAGTTGACTTCACAGATTTTCAGATCTACCAAGAGCTGATAAAAGGCCGTGAGGACAATTCCTTCTATAAGAGCTGCGTGGCTGAGATGCTGCGCATTGTGATGGAGGAGGGCTGCACCACCCGCTGCAAGGTGCTCAACTACCTCGGAGAGCGATTCAGGGTTAAACTGAACTTGCCTGAGTGGTACACCAGTGAGCAGTGTGCTCACTTCCTGCTAGAGTAGGTTCATATTCAAAAATAATTGAGTCATTGTTGTTCTGTATATTTTGAAGCAAACATTAAATTAAGTTGCGTTTTGAACAGTGAGTGCCTCTGTATCCACCTGAAATCTGATGTGGAGAAGTTCTACCTGCTCTGTCTGATGACAAGGAAGCTTTTCACCTTTGCCAAGCAGGAGTGCATGGAGGAGAATCCTGACAGCATCATGTGTCAGGAAGTGTTGACCCCTGGTCGGCTCTACCTCATGTTCCTGAAGGTAAGTTAAAAAAATATTTTAAATAATTATCAAGGTAAATAACTTTAGTGAAAGTATTGGAGACAATGCTTCACTTGTCACTCCACTTTTTGTATTATTAAAATGTTCCTTACATCATGCTGCAAGAAGTTGAAAACTACCTACAGTGTGTGTTCAAGGTAAAGTGTGCTTGAAGAACAGAATTGAGCTCATATCCTGCAGAGGGAGCTATAACTCCATTTAAATGCAGGTTTATGAGTTGCGTATGTTCGTGCAACATATTTATATATAAATTTAATCATTTAATTTAGTCAAAACAACAATGCAAGCTTGTTGTGTTTATATATGTTTAATGACCAATTAAGCTGATTATTCATTATCTTCACAGGAGAAAATGACTTCCTGGTTGGTGTCGGTGAAACTAGCCTTTAACAAGAGAGCCAGCAGACTAAATGGAGGATGGACTCCTGAAAACATGATGAAACTGTTTAACCTGGGCACAGACGTGACCAGATCTTTTGAATACCTGCTGGCTACTGGAAACGTTACATCCAAAACAGGTCCTTCTATTACGTAGTATGTATGATGATTTGGTTCAGTTTTGGTTCATGTAACAAATGTTTTTTTTTTAATTTGTTCCAGGTCTTGGCATGCTGCAGAACACAGGCCTTTGTGTTGTCGCTGACAAGCTCAACTTCATCCGCTACTTGTCCCACTTCCGCTGCATTCACAGAGGAGCTGCCTTTGCTAAGATGAGGACCACCTCTGTTCGAAAGCTGTTACCCGAGTCCTGGGGCTTCCTGTGCCCTGTCCACACCCCAGACGGCGAACCCTGTGGGCTTATGAACCACATGACAGCTATCTGTGAGATTGTAGCTCCGACACTGCCAACCACCTCACTCCCTGCTCTGCTCTGCTCCCTAGGTAAAGTCTTACCTAAGACACGGGAGTCAACTCCTCTCACACTGGCTCATTAGAACACTTTCCTGAACTGATGAGTTGATTTTCTGAACTTTTTGTTCTCTAAGGTGTTGTTCCTGTGGATGCATCTCCTGGCCAGAACTTTGCAGACTGTTACCCTGTGATCCTTGATGGGACTGTGGTGGGCTGGCTGGAGTCTGAGTTAGCACCAGCCGTTGTAGAATCACTGCGCACCTTTAAGGTGTGACAACATTTAAAAAAACAACCCTACTGTCCAGTTATTTGTTTACATAAAACTAACCTTTAAACGACAAAACTGCAGGTGCTGAGAGAGAGGAAAATCCCTCCTTGGACTGAAATCGTTCTGGTTCCAAAAACAGGAAAGGCCAGCTTGTACCCTGGCCTGTTTCTCTTTACAACACCATGTCGTTTGGTGAGGCCTGTTCGCAATTTAGCTCTTGGGAAAGAAGAGTTGATTGGTACCTTTGAACAGGTACATTAAAGATGTTGTTGCAATTTTCAAATGGTTGACCTTTAAGGAAATATATTTAACCATAATGATGTTCGTTTAACTTGCTGCAGCTTTATATCAACGTGGGAATACTGGAGGACGAAATAGAGCCTGGAGTGACCACACACCAGGAACTGTTCCCTCACAGTATGCTCAGTGTCGTGGCCAACTTTATTCCCTACTCAGACCACAACCAGAGTCCCAGAAATATGTACCAGTGTCAGATGGGTAAGTCTGGCCCATCAGCCCTGGTTGAAAAGGCCGAGTTAGACCGTGCTGTTCACCTTCTCACATGTTCAAAATGTCATTGCAAGTGCAGTGCAACATGAACAACTGTGTGGTTTAACTCAGTCATGAACCACAGCAATATTACTAAAAACAGACAGATTTATCCTTTAAATTTATCCTTTAAATTAAAGCGTAATTTTTATAACAACACATCTGTTCTGTTCCACAGGTAAACAGACCATGGGTTTCCCTCTGCACTCGTTCATGGATCGCTCAGACAACAAACTCTACAGACTGCAGACCCCACAAAGCCCGATGGTCAGACCCTACATGTACGACCATTACAACCTGGACAATTACCCCAGTGGCACCAACGCCATCGTGGCTGTTATATCCTACACAGGCTATGACATGGAAGATGCAATGGTACATATGACATCTGCTCTGCCCGTTTATATTTCTGTTGAAGTTAATAGGAAGACCTCTATTTGAAACTATTTGTAATGTAATGTGTAAAATGAACACAATGGGAGGCTGTAATGTAACTCAGACAGAGCTCAAATTAGCACTTAGGCTTTATTTTTCATGTAGGAACTATTTCAAGTTAATTTACGCAGAGTTGGATATTACAAAACAATGTTGTACCAGCAAACTTTAACTCTTCAATCACGTACTTAGCCCCACCTACAGGCCAGGGAGGGAAAGCTACACTTGTGATTTTATCAACACAAGACTGTTCACACACAACATAAAGAACAAAATGTGACTTTTTCCTAGATCGTGAACAAGTCATCATGGGAGAGAGGCTTCGCTCATGGAAGTATCTACAAGACCGAGCTGGTGGATCTGACACAAAAAGTCACAGGAGACGATGGAGTTGTGTTTGGGACCACGCCTGATGATCCCAAAGTGAATGGAAAACTGGATGCTGATGGGCTGCCGTACATTGGGTCAACACTTAAGTATGGAGACCCTTTCTACTGCTCCATCAACGTCAACACTGGTGACAGCCACATCCACTACTACAAGTAAGTGTCATCATTTTATCAGCAAACATAACAAGGAAGAGCACTGTGTAAGTCCAGACCTGACTCTTTCATACAGGTTTGATCTAATACAGGTTTTTTTTCTTAGGAGTCAAGAGACATGCGTGGTTGACAACATAAAGATCTGCAGCAACGACCATGGCACAGGCCATTTTAAACGAGTTTGCATCACGGTACGAATCCCCAGAAACCCCACCATTGGTGACAAGTTTGCCAGTCGACACGGTCAGAAGGGCATCCTGAGTCGGCTGTGGCCCACTGAGGACATGCCCTTCACAGAGAGCGGCATGACTCCCGACATCCTGTTCAACCCCCACGGCTTCCCCTCTCGTATGACCATCGGGATGCTCATCGAGAGCATGGCTGGCAAGTCTGGCGCGCTGCACGGCCTGAGCCACGACGCTACGCCTTTCACATTCTCGGAGCAGAACTCTGCGCTGGAGTATTTTGGTGAAATGCTCCGCGCTGGTGGCTACAACTATTACGGCACGGAACGGCTTTACAGTGGCCTGAGCGGACTGGAGCTTGAAGCCGACATCTTCATCGGGGTCGTCTACTACCAGCGTCTACGTCACATGGTTTCAGACAAATTTCAAGTGAGGACCACAGGAGCTCGTGACAAGGTGACAAACCAGCCCGTGGGAGGGAGGAACATCCAGGGAGGCATCCGCTTTGGTGAGATGGAGCGAGACGCCCTGCTGGCACATGGATCGTCCTTCCTTCTCCACGATCGCCTTTTCAACTGCTCAGACCGATCGGTGGCTCAAGTGTGCATGGACTGTGGCAGCCTCCTGTCCCCACTTTTGGAGAAACCACCCCCCTCCTGGTCGTCCATGCGACACCGTAAAACTGTGTGCACCCTGTGTGGAAAAAGTGACTCAATTGACTCTGTGTCTGTCCCTTACGTCTTCAGATACTTTGTAGCCGAGCTTGCAGCAATGAACATCAAGGTCAAATTAGATGTTAAGTGAGAAGTAAAGGGAAATCAGTGAACACATGCCTCAAATATGACACACAGACGTGCAATGAAACAGCTTTATGATTATAAAAATTATGTTTTCTATGTAGAAGTATTCAGATGCCCGAAAACATGTATTTTACATGCATGTAAAATACATGTTTAATGGAGAAGGACTATAAGAAAGTGATTTTCGTTTCAGCCTTCAATGGAATGAATGTTTTGACACCTTTTCTAAGGGTTGGTGTGTAACCACCCAGATGTCTATTCTACAGTCTCTGTGTGTGTTAAATTAATGTTTTGCTGTACGATCACTTCTTCCCAGATTCTCGGCGTGCCGGTTTAAATAAAAGAAAATTGCAATTATTGCCAAAATTGAGAAAACCCCATGTAAAATATTAACCCAATAAAAGACTAAATACACATGATAACCAGCTTTTAACATATTAACAAATGTGCCAAGGGCTTCAGTAAACCTCATTTCAGCTGTTCTAGGACATGTGGCAGTTCTAGGACAGTTGGTATGGTGTGCCCGAAAACATGTAGACCGTCTGCTTTCACTGGACCGTCTGCCACGGCTCCTTCTGTGCTGCTAATCCAAACAGTAGCTCGTACTCCAGCATTGATCCCTCCCTGAATATCAGTGTCCAGTGTGTCTCCCACCATAACACAATCCTGGGCCTCCACCCCCAGCATTTTAAAACATAATTTGTAGATGGAGACATGTGGTTTCTGTTCCGCATGCTCTCCTCCGACTACAACAGCATCAAAGAACTCCTCACATCCCACCGTCTCCACTTTCTCTCTCTGGGTCTGAGTGTCCCCGTTGGTCAGGAGCAGAAGCTTGTACCTGCTGCGCAGTTGTGTCAGGAGGTCACGTATTTGAGGGGACAGACTGAGAAGTTCTAGACGACTGCTTTTCCACAAGAAGTAGCATTGAGTTGCCAAAGAGGGCGTAGGCCTACTGCCCACAGTCTCCATGATGCTCTCCTCCCAGTGACCGACCCGTACATCATCTATGGATCTTCCTGCTGCAGGATCAAAACACTCGTGCTTTAGCTTGTGTTTGAATTTGACACAGATTCTACTGGCAGTGTCATCATCAAGGTTCAATGTGTTCTTCAAGAACTCATGGATCTGTAGGCAAACAACAAAAAACACCCTCATTTGAATCAGTTACACCTGCAGTGATATTCAAACGGGTGCAATGATGACGGTAATAGGAGTGTCCACTATTGTATGTCCCAGAACTAATTATTATTACATTGTTTACGAAGACTGTATTAAACAAGTAGCTCTCTGTATTACTACGTGGCCTTTAAGTAGCTCTCAGTTTGAAAAAGGTTGGTGACCCTTGAGTTAAGTCGTTCAAATAATTCTGAATTAATCAAACAATCAAAATTCACAACTGAGACTCGAAATCAAATACACAATGTACAGTAAATCCACGTCGGACCATAGTATGGGAAGGACCTACCCAGTACATTGAGTGACAACAGAAACGTGTAACTGTAATTATAAATATAACATAAACCAATAAATGCTGATATATCACCTTTTCGATCGCCACAGCGTGTGCTGCCTTCGTGTCAATCAGCGTGTTGTCCAGGTCGAACAATATTGCCTTTTTTAAAACCATTTTCGGAACGTTTATTCGTTACACTGCAGCGTCTTTAAACGCGGAAGTACTCCGGAGCGAACTGTATGCTGGGAGTTGAAATTTTGTCCAGTCAAAAAACGCTGGCTATTTGTAACCACTAGAGGACGCCATTTAGTAGAAATACAGTATTTTCATCGCGGTGCTCTTAAAGTTGATCAATTTAAAAAACAAATTATAAATATACAATATTACATACGAAAGATTTTTAAACCAAAACATACAACGGAGCCATACCATACAAATGTACTGTATATTTTTTGTTATATTATGCAAAGTGCATATATGTGGTGATTGTTCAATTATATTTATTTTGTTCAATTTAAGGTGACTATTTATTAGATCGTTGTTTTTAGGTAAACATGAGTAAATGCTATTTTTATTTTAACGTTGTTTAACGGCTTTTACTCACAAAACACATTTTACACATAATGAATTTGAAGAAATCTTTCATAATCAACTTAAAAAAATTTCTATTGAATATATTGGCATGGTTCTCTGAATGGTGTTTTAACGTTTCATGATATTTTAACAACCACTTTAAATAAGTCTTGGCCAATCTTACACCTTTTATTGTTATTTTTTTAATGTTTTTATTGTCTACAAAACTCTTAGAAAGTGTGTGAACTATTGTGACAGTAAGGCCTTTTTATCCTATCATGAGCATTATATATTTTACCATTTGTATTTGAACAGTATGCTCCGCAAGAATGGGCTATGGACAGTTGAAAGGCTACTAAAACTTCACTGGATGTTTCATATTTAGAACATGTCGTACATTTTGTAGTTGTGATCGAAGCCGGTGTCACGTGACTAGCAGAGGTGTTTTTTTCTCCACCTATTTCTGAATGTGTCATGCACCACACAACATTATCCTTCCTTTGCTAACTAACCTGGAGCCTGTTTGTTTTTTCTGAGCCCAAATCAATTCTGGATGATAATTAATTGCCAAATAAGTCACGAAACTTGCCGAATCATATTCTCTATTTGACACTCTGCGGCTGGCATTGCCAATTTAATCACATATTCCGTGAGACAGACTGTTTCAAAAGGAAAACACACTTCATTTCCTATGCAACCTGTCCTTTAACTTGCTCTCATTTCTGGCAGCGGGCCAAAGGTTCACACGCAACAGCGTGAACGCCTGTTGCACTGCTGCATGGGACACAGTCAGAAATCATAACAATCCTTCACACATGCACTCAGAGGACACTTTGAGGTTTTAGCAGAGGTGTGACCTCGTTGTCTTGGTTAGGTTGGACCATAAAAATGTTTAAGATAAACTATGAAGAACTTGTATGAGCGGCGAGTGTCTGTTAAAACAAATAACACCTGCTGCTAGCATGCAGAGAAACCCCAGCCTTTAAAATAGAGACAAAGGGGAAAAAACATTTTTAAAATCACCTTCGCCCATAAAATGAGAAGTATATACAGTTGGTGTGTGATGAGCAGATAAGTGCAAAGGTGGAATTTCCCTTTCTGATCTGAAGGGAAAAATGTGACATCTATAACAGGACGAGCGTGACTCTTACAAGTAGGTATAAGCAGCAGAAGAACTAGTAAGACCTCAAGGCTTTGTCTGCACGACACTCCGTTCCTCTTTTATCTATGTGGGTGGCCATGGCTGCAGAATATCACACGCTATCTCTCAGCTGGGTGTGATAAGGTAGTGTAGCACCTTACATCCTTTTTCTGTCTCACTTTTCCATAAACACTTCACCATCGCCTCTTGTGTTATGGTGTCCTGTCCCTGGTTGTGTGGGAGTTCTTTGGTCGGACTCACCGGGAACAAAGCAGATCTGCTTGTCGCTGAATGGAGGAGAAGGAATGTATTCATAGAAAGAGTACAATACTGTAGGCAGCCATCCCACAGTGGGGAAATTCACAGTGTGAATCTCTGCAACCCACACAGACTGCCACAGGAGGCGCTGTTAAGTATGTGGTTGCAACACACAGGCTGCCATTAGGGATGTGTGGGTCTTCTGGGGCTTGAACCCAGGACCCTATGCATGGAAGGCAGATGTGTAAGCAGGCACCACCACACTATGGAACCACAAATGAAAACGGAGCTACCCAGGAGTTGAATCTAGAATCTTCTGATCCATACACAGAGCAACACATTAAGTTTTTCTAATTACATTTATGATATGGTCAAAAAGATTTAGCCTACATCCAGATTATATGACATGTTGATGTGGTCCACACATGACACGAAATAAATGCACTCAGGTGGTTTAATACTGTCTGCCAGAGCTACACAACAGTTGACAGATTCACCACTGTGTGATGTACGTGTGGGTCATGTAAGGTGACATCCAGATTACACATTGTCTAAAGCCTGAACTATTCTCAACGTTCACATCTATTGTGCCTGGACCAGATAAAAGAAGACAGTTTTGCATGTTACCCAGAAGCGGCCCACATCTGCTTGCTATCTGGTCAGGGTGCTCGTGTGAAATGCCAGGTAGGCTTTCAGTTTCTACCGAGAACTTTTGAGTGGTACGTGACACAAGACTTGTCCAGGTCAGTTGTAAATCAAGATACAAGGAATCTCAGATACCATGGGGCTCATCCATGACTCCGTTGACTAAATAGTTTAAATATATCAAACATTTTTTTCAAGATTGGCATGATGAAAATGCAGCTAGCATAAGGGAAGTGACGACTGAACTTTGCGGAGTCACCTCTTTTTCAAGGTGCTGTCATCTGGCATGTCCTCTGACGCAGACACCAACTCCGGTCACACACATAGTTGTGAGATTTTATCACGGCCGGAGGAATGTATGAACGACAGTCTAAATAGAAAAAGAACGGTGTGCCTAATGCTACTTGTCATGGTAATGGAAGGAATCAGGCAACCTGCACGTACACAAACAATAACAATGGTTATGCAATGAATTTCATGATCGAGGGGTGATATGCTTTTGTGCAAAACTTAAATAAATTGTGTGAGTGGATGGAGAGATGCAACTCAAATATAGAAGTCAGTCAGTGTTGTATTTTTTAAAAATATATTAAAACAGTATATAACACCAGATAATATCAAGATTTTAATGGATTTTCATCACAGGGACAGTGAGAGATTGGCCTGTAACCATGTTCACCAGCTTTATAACATAGACAGTACTGCACTTTTGAATCACTGACTTGTTTCCGTACATTGTTCTGTACTGTTAAAACATCCAGATGTTTAAGGCAAATCTAAGTCATTCACCTTCTGCCGACTCTCACACAGATGACGTGTAGATCGAGTGAACGATCCCTGCCGTCGCTGTGACCTTCTGCTCCACACTTAAATGATTCATAACTGTATAGTTTAGCTGTGAGTGTAGGTTATCAATCATTGTAAATTCTGTAAAAAGAAAACAAGTCACAACGACCAAAGTGATTCTCCGGCACTCCTCACTGACACTAATTATAACGTGGCTCGAGTCTGACGGAAACATCTGTCTAAGGTACAATAACGTTCATACAGTTGAAAAGAAAATGATTAGCCTCTGTAAAACAGATATTATAGTCTTTTGCAAGTGCTTTTATACAGAGCAACACTGTTTACACAGCATTTTTGGACAAAGTGTTTAATTTAGTTATTACTCCAGCATATGTACAAAATGTTGAGTTTGTGATCTGATGCAAAAAATAAAATAAATTTTGGTTCAGCTGTCAAATCAGCAAATTCAACTGAAAACATAAAACATGTTTCCATTTTTTTACATTATTTATTAGGTATTTTCTTTACTCGTTCCACGTGGTAGAGACCTTAAATTACCCACGTATCACGTCTAGTTTGCTCGAGCTAAGAATTGTGACTTATTAGACCGTTTAGAAAACCTAAAGACTGAGCAACACACATCAGACAGTATCGAATTCCTTCGACTCTGTCAGTAGTCTGGGACAGAAATGGAGCAGTAAGGACTTGAAGCATTTATAGCATAATCCAGCATCACGTCAGTGTTGTCCTGAAGGTACGCTATTTTATTTTATCAACACAAGACTCTACACGCTGAAACAAGCGAGCGGCAGGAGGTTGCATCAGATCCTCTGATGCTTCTCTCTGATACACACCAAAGCAGACCACAACACAATCACAAGCTGCTGTTACTATGTTAGCAATACTGTATACCGTAGAAAGCCATGTAATCCTTATCAAAACATATCACATCAGCCTTCTGGAATCTAACAAGGGTTTTTTTTTTTAATACCGCTAGCAAAAGGTCTCGCACTTTGTCTCCTTGGTTGTTTTTTCACATGAAAACATGGTTGAGCTCGGGTTGGGGCTCAAGAAAGGCTTGGATTTAAAATCAGTCATAGAGTCATAGTCAACGCCACGGCCTACAAACCATCAGGCTAAACTGTAAAAGCTGGTACAAGTCCTTTTTCCCCATATAACATCATAGTTTGCACGCAACATTTACTTTAAAAAAAAAAAAAAAAAAGCCCCGGAGGGAAATTCGGAAAATTGAGACACTTCAATCAAGTGACAGCATCAAGTGTCAGATGATTACTCACAGCAGCTCGCCTTTCATGTTGCCTTATCTGAAAATACAATCTTACACAGAAGTGTATGTGTGTGTGTGTGTGTGTGTGTGTGTGTGTGTGTGTGTGCGTGTGGGTGCAGGAGAGAAGGAAGGGTGATTTATAGGAAGCCATATAATGACATACATACATATATACTGTGAAACATGTTCTTCTGCTGTTGACGGTAAAACAGATATAGCCAAATCATGTCCAAAGCATGGCTCTGGGCCAATATGCGGTACATCAATAGGCCTTATTTGGTCCATGACTTCTTTTGTAAAATGTATTTTACTTGCCCACTAGCAGGAAATATATATTTATTTAAAACTTGTCATGGACTATTTTGAACATTGGATTTCATAAAAATGTAGCTACTTTTGTCACCTAACTTGTTTCTTGGATAATTGTAATGTAACCTGTTTTGATGATTTATGATACTGATGACAAATACTTTCCAGCCACCTAAAAGTTATTTTACTTCATTATTTTTATGTATATTTTGGTAAAATGTATGCAAATGTATTTTTTTTTATCTTTT